CGACTGACTTTTAATAATATTATTATTTATTATTTTAAAATTTGAATTTTACGCGGTTCTGGCCTACTCTTTGATTCTGCCCGAGCTGCCCGGGAGTTTTGGCGGGAAATACAAAATTCATTTATTTTTTTGGAAATTAGGTTTTTGGAGTTTACTGGCGAAACCCTCTCGTTTTGGCGCCAAAAAGAAATGTTTAGCCCGCGAAAAGCGGGGGCTGCGGCCGTTACTCGCCATTCCTTTTTCCACTTCCACGTGCGTCTCTCCTCCCCTCCCACGTGTCACTCCAGTGGGTAGCGCCTTTTTTTTCTACCTAATGTTTTTAAATAATTGGTGTTAAAAAGAATTTGGTCCCGATTTAGTCTATAAATTTTAATTTTTAACAATTTAGTCTGTAATTTTAAATTGGTAACAATTTAATCTCTAAACTTTAGTATATAACAATTTAGTCCTTATAATTTAAATTTTTTTAACAATTTAGTCTCTATTATAAATTTTTTTTGTCAAAACTAAGTATCGATTTTTATCGTATAACGATTTAGTATTTGTAATTTGTAAAAGTATTTAGTCCTTCATCGATTTATCTATATAAATATATAAGAAATTTAACAAAATTCTTTATGATAGAGACTAAATTATTACAAATTTATAATTGCTGGGACTAAATTGCTACATGCTATAATTGGAGAACCAAATTGTTACAAATTTTAAAGTATAGCAACTAAATGGTTACGAGCAAAAGTTATTGTTATTTTAATATGACCAAAAGTATTTTTTAACCAAAATAATGTTTCCATTTTAACAGATAAAAAATAGATTAAATTATTTGAAATTAGTTTTAATATCGTTCCTTTCAATTTTGGCCATTTATCGCAAAATTCCTCACAAATCATCCTTATGGCTATATCATTACAGTACAAGTCATTTTTATTTTGCATACTACGTGATTTCAGTTTTTTTTTTCTCTTTTTTTTAAGCTGAGTTTGTTAATTGACTGTATTAGATTTGTGATTGGATAAAATTTATAAGAAAATTGAGTCTTTGATTCATTAAAAAAAAAAAAAAGGAAAAAAAGAAATAGATGTGTTGGGTGGAGGAAAATGGTCTAAAAAGTAAAAACAATTTATGCAACCAAATTTCAAACATGAAATTGAAACATTGAAAACTATGAAGAATAAAATTAAGCTAAGAAAAAAACAAGTTTATTAGGCCAAACTATACGAAATAAATTCAAATTTTTAAGTTTTGAGACCAAACTAAAAGTCTAAGTTAAATAGTACTTAGTAGGGACTAAATAGATAAAATAGCATTTTCCATATAAACATTTTTGTTTGAAAGGGAAATCTTTTAAATAAAAACAGCGGAAAATGGAAATAAATTTTATTATTTTCTTTAGTCACTTCCAAGTTAATTCACATGTAATTATCAATTTCCCCTTTTTACTATAACCTAATTTATATGTTTTACATTTTCTAATTATACAGAAGAATTTTAACTGACAAGTCTCTAAAATAGTTTTTTTTTTTAATTAGAAAATATGCACAGTAAGCTTCTTATTTCTTTACACAACCTTTTTTTAGGTCTAAAACTTTGATGTTTATTTTATTTAGTTGATAAGCTTTCAAACCTTTTATTTTGATTTTTGAACTTTGTAATAAACTCTTTTTCTTTTTTTTTTTTCATCGTAAAATCTAACTCAAGCACATTTTTGGTTTATTTTAACTAATTATGTACGTGTCAATTATTTAGATAAATACTTGAATACACAAATATAGTAGGTAGTCAATAATTGCTGAATATATATTTAGATTTTTTGTTCGAAGGTATTTTAGATTCTTTTAATTATATCTCATTTAAATATAAAATCTGATTCCATTAAAAACATCAAAATTGTTGTTATCACCAATAATGTTTCTTTCACATTTACCAACACAAGTACTTTTTCTAACACACATTTCATGTTCCAAAGTAAAAAAATAATCACCAAAAGAGAGGGGAAAAGAATTCTAATTTATCAATCAAGTTATTCTAGGTAAATGTCATTACTTTTACCATCGTGGGATGGATGAGGGATAAAAAAAACTGTTATTATGAATTTAAAAGTAACAAATATAATTTCTATATTAAAAAAAAAGTAACAAACATAATTGCCAGTCGCTATAATATCTCATCCACAGATATATGTAGCTAAGGTTTTAAATTTTAGTTGAAATGATACTTGTATAGGTACATGATTCAAGAAGTGAATCAACATTTAAAAAAATAAATAATAATAATAATAATAATAAATAAAATAAATTGAAAAGATATAAAAATAAAAATAATTTAAACTTATTTAAAAAAGATGAAATGTTTATTTATTAATTTAAATATATTTTATACATTTTTTAACTTTTATGATATTTGAGAAATATCCATTGATATTGATGTTTCCGTTAACAATTTCACAAATTTCTTTTTTTTTTCTTTTTTGAAACATTATTTTTGTACAAGATGTGAGAAGGGGTTTTGAACCCATAAACTCTTGATTGGAGATAGGAAGTATCGATTACTGCTAAGCTAGACTCGTTTTGGTACTTAATCCATATCCACAAAATTTTCTAAAAGGTTAGAAGATTTCGAGAAATTCATCAAATTGAATTAAATTAATGAAGAAGTGTAGGGCTGATCATGCAAAATTTACAAATTTAAAGTATATGTTTGAAGTTGATATTACATGGCATTTAACTGAACCCTTGTCAATCAATTGTTTTTGGTTTATATTTAATTTTTAATAGTCAAGGTCAACTCAGGTTGTTGAAGAAGGATCTTTTTTATCTTCTTGCATTTTGGTAAGAAGAGATTGAAGTTTAATAATTCAACTTGAAATTAGACGTAGTTCTTGGCCAATTGGAAAAATATTTGATTCACAATATAAAAAAAAAAGGCTTATATAACATATTTTAATATGACATTATTGTCTGCAATCTAATCCTATTTTATCTTAACATAATAAGATATCAACGTATAGTATTCAAATTATTTCCCTAAAATTTGGATGTGGGTATGTTAGCATAAATTAACTATCTATCAATTTTGTCATTAAATTTTTTAATTTTTATATATAATTCGGGCTGTTTTTATTTCTTACTTTAACTAAATATACAAAAAAGAAAAAAAAAAACTTTAATCCTATATAAGCTAAATATATAATCTAGTCACTAAAATTTACACTAATTTTTAGTCGTCTTTTAAATCTTCCTCCGGCTAGTCATATATATTAATATTCATAGAGTTGCAATGAGAACCAGATGCTCGTTTGAGCGTTTTTGGACTCTGATACCATATCAATATTCATAGGATTTCATCTCAAAACCAATTGACATTGAAAAGAGTAGCCCATGTCTTTTATAAACCATTGTTAGGTCTCTTCTCTTTTCAACTTTTCAATGCGAGATCCTTAACAATATATACATATACAATGTATATAGTGAGATAAAAAATATATATAGTAATTTCCCAATGACAACAAATTAGAGGTCACAAGGGGCTTGGCCTAGACATTAAACCAAATTCATGGAAGAAGAGAGAACATTATCCCAAACATCCAACTGCAATCTAATAAAGTCCATCAATGTTGATTTTTCCTCTTTCTCATTTTTTGTTTCTAAGAAACATTTTCAAACTTGTAGGCAAAAAAAAAAATAAAAACATAAATCAGAGAATGAGAAACTATCTTTCATTCCAAAAAGCCATAAGAACAAGAGAGGAGAACAGTCACAAAAGACCTCATCTGTACTATCCATCTTCATTTAGAAATGATGAAGCACGTAATCATAAAAAGAACTGCTAATTGTGTTAGTTCAATTGAAGCAATGCCTTATGTAGTACATATTTTAGATGCCAGTAATTGGAGAAAGAAACTAAAGAGACACCAAGCATTGGATATAGACTATAGAGTAGATAATTGTCCAATTGATTCAAAACGAAAAATGGCCAAAAGCATTTTCCAAGAGGGTAAAAACTGTACTGTGTTTATCCTACAACTATAAACAACAATGACAAGGTAGGCTTTAAGGCCTTCTTACAGAAGCTGCCATACCAAGGCATGAACGTGTAACTTGTTCCCTTCTAGTTACTGTTACTGATACAGACAAAACCTATTTATAAGGAGCTGAGTGAAAATTAATGAAAATTAGCTGTTCAACCTATAGAGCAAAGACACAAAAATTTGGTAACGGGTAAGAATCTTCCAATTGGTTGATCTCACCAAATGCTAAGGAAAAAACTAAATAAGGTAACTCAACAAGGATGAAGTAAAATTTGTATGCATAATGCCCAGCATGGCAGATGGACCATACCTAAGTAGAGGAAAGTAGCACTATTCCAAGCCCAGAGGGTCTCCATCCAGTTCCAGAAGTCGCCAATATGTAGATCATGAAAACCTTGCAAAGAACCTTTAAACAAAAAGAAAGCAATAGGTGGAAAAGCTATGAATCCCAAAACAATGTTACAGGCTGCCCTTGAAAGAGCTTTAAAACTCCCAGCCACTAGATCAAGCTTCAGAGGATGTGCCATCAAGCACATGGAAACCATAAAAAATGCTCCAAGTTCTGCAGTAGCAAAGTTAATTACTGACATGAGGCACAAACCAATRAAGGCCGCTGAGATGGTCATTGCTTTCAGGAAAGCGCACTCTTGAATAAGCTGGTGAGRAGGTTTGGTGCAAGTGAATGGYRAGCCCAAAATCACGGACRAAATTAGTAGGGKGAGCAGKGAAAGCAACGCCCAAATAGTAGRGCTTGTTGTAGGACTGTAACCAGGTAWWTGGCAGATGAAGTAGGGAAGTAAAGAAACAACAGCACCCCATAMATGAACAACAAAAACATTTTTTGCAGCATTAAGCCATTTCCATGATCTCAAAGAGACAATAAGCTCATCATCAGGATTTGCTGGAACTGCATGTTCRACCTTTTCCRMGGTTAAATTCAAATTGTTTGCATAAGAGTAGAGAGAAGCCGCAACAGCTGGTAGTGGAGCAACAAGGAGTGCAAAAGCAATCATATATACACCAACTGATACAAATTTGCTTGTAGATACCATAAGGTATAGGAAGAATGACTGATGGAACTTTTCCAGGAGGTTGTTTACTGATCGTACAACTCCTTCAATTAGCCTGCACAATCCCAACTACAAAATCCTTAGCCATTAAAAAGACTTGGAGAATTTCAGTCCTTGCATTTTAATTTCAAATTTAAAATTATGAATATCTTGATCATTTAATACACCAAAATCTAAACCCAGTTTCATACATGAACATGACTTTGGCCATTCGTTTAAAAAGAGAAACTATTAGCCAAAGTTCATTGTTAAAAAAACAAATTTTCTCTTACTGCAGTTTAACTATTTACAAACTAAAATTTAAACATGGAAGATTGACAGTAAAACGTGAAGTTAAAAAATGGGAAATGATAAATAATAAAAAAATAGAAAATATTACTTGATGTCGAGCTAACCTCATTGAGGGAAACCATTAGTTTTAAACATTTATTCATACAGTGAGCCCTGAAAAGTTGAGGGGTGGGAGGAGGATGTGTTACAAAATCCTTGGGGTATAAATGAGCACTGACCTGCCACCTCGCAGTATGAATTCATCACGCCTGACCTTGATACCAGAAGAAAATTTGGGGGACATCTCCACGGTAATTGCATCAACTTGGTAATCTCGAAAAGCACCATGGGGACCAGTAGGAATACCCACAGCCTAATGGCAAGAAGAACATAGATTAACTTAAATGGATATAATCTTTATTATTAACATAAATGAAAAAACCTTCCTTATTCTTGTTCATTAAATGAAACCATATAGCTCTTGACAAATAAACAGAAAGGTAAACCACCTGGTAGTACAATGAACTTGCAAGTGTGGCAGTGCCATCAACATAGTCAGAAGCAGGGATGCCAAACTTCCATTCAGGGTTCAAGATTCGGATCAATTGTCCTATTGACTCAAACACTTCACCCAAAACCTTGAGCCATTTGCAGTCTAGTAAAGGCCAAAATTTCTCAATCTTAATCCGAAAACCTTGCCTATGTACTGCCATATAATTCACAATATTGATGAGATCCAGGTTCGGCATCTGACCATTAGATGCTTCAGCATAGACACTAAGACTATCCTCGAAGTGTTCACTTTTATTTGAAACCTTAATAACAAGTGCTGCAGCCATTGTTCCAGCACGTTTAAACTCATCTAGACTCATTTTTTCTGTCATATGGTTTGTTCCTAATTTATTAAGGACACTCATCTCAGCACAAGCATCTTTGTCAATGATGCCGGATCGACCAAAATGCAGGAGTGTAATAGTCTCTCAGCCAAGCTGAAACTGCAGCATATTCCCCATATTGTGAATCCACGATGAGCCATACAATGTCTTTGGCCAACCAAGTTACTTRTGTAAGCAAAGAAAATACTGAATATGCAATACCAAGAGACAAAGTCTCATAARGACTAGTCTTAACAGGATTGTAAGTTGTCACCAAGACGATTGCTTCCTTTCCATCGGCTTGTGGTGCTTTTATTATGCCAACAGTGTTAATACCCTGTGCCATGCAACTAACGTTGTCCCGAATGATGCCAGAATCAGGGCTAGAGAAAAAGTGCAATGGATGGAACTGACCAGACTGAGGGTGGAACTTGTGGTAATTAACTTCAGCACCCAAGTCTGATATATATTGTGCTAGAATCTGCTGACTTCCACTGTAAAAATGGATAGAAAATCAAATTTCTTCATCATAGGTTGAGTAGAACAAAAGACTTGCAATGCAAACAGAGGCAAGGAGAAGAAAAAGATGATGCATATTGAAATGTGAAAAATATGCTATTGATAAATTCTGTGGAAGATGAATTAGATAACTATGAAGTGCACTGCAAAGAAGTGAAAAAAGTTGCACCAATTAAGACTATGATTATCTTTACACATCCACGCCCCTCTTGAGAAACATCAAATAACATGTCAATCCACATGCACATCATGGTCATAGATAAAATGAAACAAGCATAGACATCACATATTCAGAAAATTATTGAAGAAATAACATATACCACATTCTGATGAAAGCTTTCATAAATTATTGAAGAAATAACATCTACCACATTCTAATGAAAGCTTTCATTTGATACACGTAACTTGTATAAGAATTTTAGGACTAATATTCTAAACCCTTTCTAGACAAAGAATATCAGCCTCATTCAGAAGTTCATATTGAAAGCTAAATGGATGACATATTTAAATATTTTACAATTGGCCAAATTGGCACAATTGAGCTTGGTGATGGTTCCTTGATATTTTCATGGGACTACGCATACAAGTGAACTCTAAAGTTTCACCCTACCATTGGTTGACTTAAATACTTGTAATTAGTCAAAGGAGTTGACTGAGTTAAAATGGGCAAATGCCTTTAAAGCATGCGACATAAAACCATATTAATGTCAATGCATACAAAGTCATAACAAACCACGTAGACAAATTTTAATTTGAAGTGATAATTCTCAAAATTTTAGTCATTACACAGGATTTTTCCATTGTATTTTAAAGGAGAAAAAAGAAACAGAGAAAAGTGGGACACTAATTACATACAAGACTGTCGAACCAGGTTTCGAGTTCAAAGCCTTTATATCCTTCACCAAGTTGTTCGCCTCTGAGACTTCCTGACCGGAAAGCATGGTATTTGCAGAACCTGTGGGACAATAGAATGCCACAATTAAAGAGTACTCCAACATATATACGCTCTAAACAACCTCTGAGTACTGTCCATCCATATATAAAATTACAAAGAATAGATCACTGCAAAAGGACAAGGAACACAAAATTGATGATCCTACAATTTAAGATACTCCCCCAACTAATGAATTTTAATTTTAATTCGTAAATTATCTTAACTCATACGCTCCACCAGGCGATCAATCACTAAATCATAAAAATGATGAGTAACAAATAAACAAATAAGATAATGATAAGCTAAGCAAGAAGCAAAAATGACCTGGCATGAGAGCGTTCTCGGAAATGTAAGTGTTCATGGCGAACATTGGCAGTAGCAAAAGAGCTAAAACCCCTGCGGAGAAGCAAATCACGCTAGAGAGCACCCAAAAAAAGAAAAAGAACCAGATTAATCAATCAATATATTCTGAAACGAACTGAGAATCAAATCCACGTAAAACCAATAGCGTACCTGAAGAAAACACTGTGAGAAATTAGGAAAATCCCCAGGCGCACAATCGGTCGTGCCTTCGCTTTTGGTGTCTCGGTCTCAGCCATCGAGCTTTACAGTGGCCCAATTGATATTCTTCACAAATTGTTCTAAACCTGTTCCTCAATTGAGAAACCAGGTGGAAGAAGAAGAAGAAGATTTGAGCTCAGTTAGCCAGAAATCAGAGGAAACCAGCATATGATTAGGAACCGCGAGATATTCACTGTGAACAGTTCGATTTTAGAAGACTAAACTAAATCGATTTTCAAATTCTCTGCAGTCTGCACCATGTAGGTGAAAAACGGGTCGCTTCGATTCGGGTCGGAGCCCAATTGAAGAAAATCTACTCTGTTCGGGTTACTGTTGAAAGAAACCGACCCGAACCCAGAAAGAAGACTTGGGGATCCAGATCGCCGACATAGGCAGTGGTATCTTGGTCGCCGGCTGTACGGCGAGACAGAGAAACGGGGGTGGGTGTCGCCGTCACCGGTAGCTGGTCGTTTCTTCCACGGCGAGAGGCGAGAGGGAACGGGCGGCGCTGAGCGGAAAAATGAAAACCCTCGTGTTTTCGGTTATAACCAAGACCCTCGGTTTTACGGGTCGGTTCGGTTTTGTCACTGGTTAGTCTACCAGAATTATCCTTCCGCACACTTCCCATGGACATTGCGTACCGGTATCTTTGTATTTCCTTTCCTCCGTTTTTCCCGCCGGCGGGATTTTCTCCGAGATCAAACTCCCGGTCTTCTGGTTCCAAGCTCACGATGAAGCCTCAATTCCCGATTATTGTCTATAGCAGTTTTAGAAGTAACGAGTTTAAATTCTATCGCCATCGAATGCGAAATTCTTCCTTGATTCTACGATATATGGTGCCCGAAAATGACGGAAATGGAGACGACAATTTCAAGTCATTTGGGCATTGGGTTAGTGTTTCACGTTCGTTGTTTCCTGATGGCAGTTGGTGGAATTTAGATGAGCATAAGAAAGTAGAAATTGGAGCTGCGAAGCCTCTTACGGTTTATTTAGCTCTTCGTCGGATGTGGAAATTGGTTTGGGATAGTAATCGATGGGTTCTCCTCGTTGCTTTTGGAGCCTTAACCATTGCTGCGGTACGTGTTAGTAACTAAGTTCTGTATTACTCCTTGTTCTGCTTATCTATATTTTCTTTCAGTGTTCTTTGGACATCTGAAATTGATTTTTTTTACCCCATGAACACCACGCTGATTAGAAAATATGGATAAAATTTCAATGTGGATACCAGAAATCATAGGAACTCATAAAATTATTTGAACTAATAAATTAGAAGTCTTATAAATCATGATTTGATTATTAGTATTTACATCAATATTGTCTGACAGTTATAATTGGAAGCTCCTAGACTTTACTTTCCGATCTATACTTTTCACCTATTCCATTCTTGATGCAAATTATTTCACTTCACTTGACCTTTTGGTCTTTGATTTCCTAATTTAGTCTTTGTAGTTTTTATAATATGAAGTCTCTTGCAGATTTCTGAAATTTCAATGCCGAGCATATTGGCAGCATCTATTTTTTCTGCTAGCAGTGGCAAGACTATTGCGTTTGCTAAAAAATTGCAGCTCTTGGTCATTCTTTCTTTTACATCAGGAATATTCAGGTTAGTTCTTCTATAGTTGAACCCCTGTTTTTTTCGTAATGAGCAGAAATAGAAAAAGGAGAATGAGTTGGTTAATTACATCCTTATGTTATAGTTATGTTAGTTTTGCACTCCTTTTATTTGTGGACACAAATCATTTTTTATATTGATTGTTGGGGTTCTAAGCTTCTAATTAACACTGTATTATATATTTCTTCACTGATTGACATGGCTAATTCAACATATATATTGTTAGACGGGGATCTTATTTCATTTTTTCTTTAGACTTTTCATGTGAGAATTGGAATTAATCTGCCTCGTTCTTTATATTCTTGACATGAATTTTAGTGGCCTGCGAACTGGCTGCTTTGGAGTTGCGAATATAATCCTGGTGAGTGACTTCTCTACATTATTGATACATAGAAATAAGTTTTCTGAGACATCAGATGTAATGTTGATTTTAGGTAGGTACATATGGTCTTTCTTGGTTTCTTTCCTAATAGTGTAGCTTTCATTGGGAAGAATTAATAGATTTAGGTCTAGTCTAGCTGAAGGCCATTATTGCTTCTGCTATAGTAACAGGTTGTTTATTCACATATATCTCACTACTAATTCTTATTCTTTCTATCAATATATTTATTGTTTTTGTTTACATGCTTCAGGCATGAAGTAATATAGGGTCAACTTTATATAATTATTCTTTTACTAGTTTGCAGGTTAAGCATCTCAGGGAGATTTTGCATTCGGCTATTCTTTTTCAGGTTTTTGTTATGTTTAGCAATAGCAATAATGTTGAGCTTGCATGGCCGTGTCCTGCGATGATTATTTTGGTGATTTACTTTTTCGTGTAGCTATTACTTTCTTTGTAGACCATTCAACTGACTGCGTCTTCATGTAGGATATGTCTTTCTTTGATACAGAGACGGTTGGTAATTTGACAAGCAGGCTTGGAGCAGATTGTCAACAATTGGCTCATGTTATTGGAAATAATATCAATTTGATTACACGAAATGCTCTTCAGGTCGTTGGTCTTGTTGAATAGTCTTTTAATTGGTTAGGTGCTTCTACTTCTAGATTTAAATTTCTGTCTTTTACTTTCAGGCTATAGGTGCATTGGCCAATTTGCTGACATTATCTTGGCCTCTTGCATTATCTACGCTGGTGATTTGCTCTGTTCTATCAGCAATCTTTCTACTTTATAGTCGGTAAGCATATGAACCTACTGTTAGGACATGGTATTAGTATAAGCTGGTGTTGCTTTTTGCTTGGTTTTTTCATTTTGCTTTCCCATTCATCCTGCGGAGTGTAGGGGATTGTGAGGACTAAAGTGCTTGAAAATATTTAAGTAAAAGAATGTCTTCTTGTGTTTCCTTAAGCCTAGGGCATGCATTAAGTTGCAAAATCTTAGCACATATTGTATTATTTGTTTCTTCTAATTTACAGAGAATTTTATGCTAAATTTATTCTCATTCCTACTTTGTTGAAAGAATGTTACTTTGTAACTCTAATCAAAATGATAAAAATATGGTATTTTTCATTCCGAAGAATTCTTATTTCTTCTTGTAAGTGTATGTTAATATCTTTGTTGTTTCAACGGATTATTGAAGATAGCACGTTCTGTAGGTATGTAATGAAAACAGCAAAGCTGAACCAAGAATTCACGGCTGGTGCTAGTGAAGTATGTGCTGAAAGCTGATTTAAGTTAAAGTTTTGCTTAGTTGAAATTTTTCTTAGCACATAATATTCATTCACCTGATTTACTGTAGGTTGCACGTGAATCACTTACTCTGGTGAAAACCATCAGGATCTGTGGAACTGAAAGAAAAGAAGTTGAAAGGTATGATCACTGAATTCTTGTTAAGCTTCCATGTACTTAAAAACTGCTCCAGTTTGACATCTCAATTCCTTATCGCAAGCAAAAGAATACCATTATAATTTTATTCACAGTTTTGCTTTGCTGATAACTTCAAAAATGCTGAATTATGGTAGCTTACCATCATATAAGCATAAAAGCACCATTATGTTTTATCTCCACACGCCATGATGAGATTATTGCTCCATATTCTGTGGTGTTTAGATACAAGCAATGGCTGGACAAGTTAGCTTTTGTAAGTACTCGAGAAAGTGCAGCCTATGGATTGTGGAATATGAGTTTTGGTGCCCTGTATAGGTCAACTCAGGTATGGATAACTTAGTTTAGAACAATTAATACTTGATCAACTGCTAAATTTTTATTGGGTCACTTTTGTAATTTCATACTATCAATAAAATTGTTTCTTTCATTAAAAAAAAWATATATATATATATATATATTTTGGTACTTCACCAATATCAACACTTCTTAGCCCACTTATAAAGCCAGAGTCTTTTCTTGAGAACATAATGGAGTACAGGTCTAATTTCAGACAATTTATTCGAGAGAGGCCACCATCACAGCTTACTGTTAGGCACCTGAATACAAGAACCTAACAAGAGGACTATATTGCAATTCAAAAGATAAACTACAATATCGATAGTCTTTCGAGAGGACTATCTCCCTCCCAAGAAACCCTCTCAAGTTCCTCACCAAAATACTATTCTCCAAGATATCTTCCACCTCTCCCTACCATCCTTATTTAAAACAACTCTCCTAACTAATACCATTCTAATTACCATACTACCCCTTCATACTAACAAACTAATATTCCTCTATACCCCTAATAGGACTCTCACACTTACTTGTGGACCTTCTCCAATTCATTGGAACCCACTCATTTTTTTCATCACCTTCCTTTCAGTTTTCCTTAAATTCTCAAAATTTTTGTTATTATCTTTTATTAATCATATAAACAAATAATATTTGTGTAATTTTTATCATTTTTACTAAAGAAAATTTCAATGGTAATTAAGTTTTAGTTCATGTTGACAAGATCTGTTTAAATATTAATCATTATTAATTTATTTGACGTTAATATTGATATCAATACTTATATTATTTAATGCGAATGCATGTATATACTTTATAAATATCGTTTGGGTTGGGTTGAGTTCAAATTTTTTCTGTATTAGATGAGGTTTAAGTATTTGGAACCTATTGCAACAGTTTGCATACACTTTTCCAAAATTAATTTAAGTTAAATCGAACTAGCTAGAGTTTATTAATTTAAGATATTTATAGTTCTTCTACTTTAAGTAAATCATTTGATTTTGTTTTACTCGTTTTTTGTTATTTTTATTTTAACTAACCTCTACAATTAATTAGTTTAGGTCCTTAAAGTTCTATTTTTAACTAATCTGTACAATTAATTAGGTTTTTGCAGTACTCTTAGGAGGGATATCTATTATGAGTGGTCGGACATCAGCTGAGCAGCTTACAAAGTATGTTTTGTACTGTGAGTGGTTGATTTATGCAACATGGAGGATCACAGACAATCTATCATCTTTGCTATATTCAATTGCAGCAAGTGAAGCAGTCTTCCAATTAATGGATCTCCTGCCTAGCGAGCAATTTTTGTCCAAAGGTAAGCACTCTCCTTCCTTTTTGAAGGGCATTTCTGCAATATTGTCTCAATAATGAGTAATTCGTTAGTTCTATTTGGTTCATGGACTGTGGCACTTTGAGTTGTCAAATGTGTGCAGAATTTGGTCTTTTTATGCTATGGTGATTATCCATTACAGGAGTGAAGCTGCAGGAGTTAACAGGACATATTCAGTTTGTTGACGTGTCCTTTCATTATCATTCAAGGGTAAATATATTTAAATTTCAGTTTAAAGTATTCTAATGCCTTTTTTTTCTTTTTCTGGTGTAAATGCGTTCCCTGATTATTATTCTTAGAAGCTTGATTGTCCGTGAAATGTGACAGGACATGCTTCTGGAACACATAAATATTACTCTACAGGCAAATGAAGTGGTAGCGATTGTAAGAAATTTATATGCTTGGGCAGCTCTCTTCTTTCTTTCTTTATTTTTTCTCTCTCTCTTTTCCCTTTGTTAATACAAAGTATATGAGGATTTTCTGCGTTCTATGTTTTCCAAGGTTGGGCCTAGTGGCTCTGGAAAAAGCACTCTAGTCAATCTTTTGCTCCGTCTTTATGAACCAACCAGTGGTCAGGTAAGCTGCAACAGCTGCACTTTTTTTATTAGGGAATTAATGAATTTTTTAAAGAGAAGTTAGTTCTCATCATTTATCTCTGGAACAGTTTATTTCAAGCAAACATTGATTATCATTTCTTTGGACTTAATTTTCATGATATCTTTTCTCTGCTTAAAAAAACTTAGTTGTGTAAGAAGAACAAGTTTTCAATTCCCACTCAGTGGACAGATAACATTGATTTAGATTTTAAGCAATAAGGAGTGAGCTGTATATTTACTAATGTTATCGTGTACACTAATCTGGTCACAAATTCAAGATATTTTTTACAATTTTTTATTTTTGATGTTTATGTTATCATGCTAGGTTATGGACTGTCGGCACTCCCTTTTCAGCTATCCATTTATTTTTCACTTTGTCATTTCATATGCAACAGGGGTTTTGTTTGAGGGGATTACGATTTCATACTTTTTATGTGTTTTGGAGTTTAATTTATTTCTCTTTTCTTAAAACAGATTTGATGATAATAGTTTATACCATACCTAACGCTATATTAAAACGTTAAATTACAAAGACTGTGTACAATATTTATTATCTAATGCCTAAGGCAAACGAGAAAAACTACTACAAGATTTCAAAATATATATACACAAAATTTAAATAGCATAAAGAAGAAAAGGAAAAACTCCCTTTTTCAGCTGATTCTCACACTTAGTTTCTTGAAAATGCAGATTTTTGTTGATGGCCGTCCCCTCAAGGAATTGGATATTAGGTGGCTGAGAGAGAAGATCGGATTTGTTGGACAGGTTAGAATGCATAAACTGTATAATGTACGCTTTTGAGTTCAACAAGGGACGTGGGGATTCGAACCACTAACCTAAGGGAGATAAGTAATGCCTTTGACTAGTTGAGTTATACTTGATATAAAAACTGCATAATACCGAAAGCTAATTGAAATAATATGCCTCGACTTTAATTTGTACAGGAACCCCACCTCTTCCACATGGACATCAAGTCAAATATAAGATATGGCTGTCCTATGGATACCACGCAAGAAGATATAGAATTGGCTGCAGAGCAGGCATGTGCTCATGAATTTATCTCATCTTTCCCTAATGGCTACGATACCATTGTTGATGATAATCTACTTAGTGGGGGCCAAAAGCAACGGATTGCTATAGCAAGGGCCATTCTTAGAGACCCTGCTATCTTAATTCTTGATGAAGCCACGAGTGCTCTAGATTCTGAAAGTGAACATTATGTCAAGGTCGGTATGAACATACTTCTCTTTAAGGAGCATCATCTCTTTAAAGGAAATAAATAAATAGATGTGTGCGCTAATTGTATTACTTTTCTGATACATTCTTGTATTTTATCTTTAGGGGGCTATTTCTGCATTCAAAAGTAAACGAGGTGGACAGAAAACTGTCATCGTGATAGCTCATAGGTAAATATTCTCAATTTGTGTTTCTAATGCTTCTTTAAGGTGTTTATGTGATATGGCCAAACTTTTATAGACTCTCTACAATAGAGGCTGCTGACAAGATACTTGTAATGGATAGAGGTCGCGTTGTTGAGGTCAGTTTACCATATTTTAAAATACATTGTAGCTATATCCAAAAAATGGATAGATGTTTGGCCATCGAATGTTAGTTTTCGATAATATAGATCATCGCCATCCCTATTATAATGCTGCAGATTAATATAATTTTACTTGTGGTTGTTTTCTAAAAGCAGATTGGTAACCACAAAGAGCTCCTTTGCAGAGATGGCTATTATGCTAAATTAGTCAAAATACATAAAAATGTGCTCGCTTGAGTCTCTGCTTAACATCTGGATTGATATCAGGTTATATTTACTGCCTTGCAATTCAGTGGTTTGGTAAATTGCTTTATTTATTAAATTCTTTGCTCACTTTGGGTCTGTGCAGAATTATTGGCATTGATTTACATTTACAAAAGCCTATAAATCCTTTGGAAAAATGTTTGTACCGAAGTGGATAACTTGGTCTGATAAAGAAACGGGAACGATATTTTTAACTCTATTCCTATGAAATTCCACATGGCTGTAAAAGTTGGTGATATCCATGCCATTCATCTTATGCCCAAACTTGGGTCGATCGTTGGAAGAACAAACATGGCATATTTCACCACGACGTCTGCCCGTGGCAACTCACTTTCCCAGCCACATACCATGGTCGCCTTGGTCATTTGTAGATCACTCGAAATGATCGATCGACTGGTGAAACATCGGAGTAAACATGAAACGAGATGAGAGGTAATTTGGCTGTTCCATAAAGGGAAAACACTCTTGTGAATGAAGTACAATGTCTCAGAATCTTGGTATTAATTTTCCTTCTGCTTTATTATTTATCTTCATTATGAGACTACTCTGGAAAGTAGCTTCTTAGAGAGAGGAATTTTTCTCCATTTGCAAGTAAATTTATACTCTTATATCTCTATGAAAATGTTGGCTTGAATTTCTCATTGGCTCCTGGCTACATCCATTTTCAAGTGTAAATCAAGTCAGATCGGTTTTATAGCTCCCTAAACTTTTGAATGATTTCAAATCATAACGAATTTTGAATGAATTCTATTTGTTATTACATGAATTAGAATGATGAAGATTAATCTTATTTAAATAAAAAAATATTCTCTATGATTGGATTTGACGAAATTTCATTCAATCTCAAAGTAAATTATTAATTTGACCTTACCATGTTTTAATTTCTTATTAATAATTTAAGATTAGAAACCTTCGTATTTTATTTTAGTTACATCCATACTAAATCTTTCTTATTCCAAACATGGAAAATAATTCATAAGTGTTTACATATAGCATGTTTGAGTAATTTAAACAAATGGCTAAAAATAGAGGGAAATATGTGGTAATTAAAATCTCAAAGATAGGTTTATTATTTTATTCAAATTATGACCCTTGTCCTTTTTTTTTAACAACATAGCGAAGTATAACTCAATTTCATAACCTAAGTATAACTCAATTATTCAAATGATAATTGACTGAGTTATAAAGACTATGTTAAAATTTTTAAAACAATGTAGATTAATTGGTGATTCAAAAAAATCTTACTAATATAGATGTAATATTAATATTAATTATTTTTAACTTATTTAGAATTAATAAAATTTTTATTTGTTAATTTAGATATCCTTTACGATTTTTTATTTTTATAACATTTTATTGTATTTCCATAAAATTGAAACCTCCACATTTTCATCATCGTCAACATTTAAAACGTTGGATTCAACTTTCAAATATTTTTTTTTTTGATAATTTATGAGCTATTTTTCAGATATTTAAGAAAATAAACCTTTTTTTAGTCCATAATTTAGGGGTGAGGAATGAAACTCACAAACTTTTGGTTGGAGATTATATCAATTACAGTTGAGCTATGCTCTGGTAGAAAATAAACCATCTTAATTATTATAAATCATGTTCTAAACCATAATTGACATATATCTTCCAACCAACTATTGATTATGAACCAATAGTAAAGAAAATAAGAAATTCGGAAAATATATCTATTATTTATGTTAAAAGAAAAAAAAATGTGGGGAAAAAATCACATAATTTTTCTGGCTTTCCTTCTTCCCCTTGGCCCGTCTGCACGGAGTTAAAATGGAACACCCAAAATTTTTACAGAGAAATCTTTCGATGCTTCTGGCTTTCGTTCTGTCTATATCCACTTGCTCGGCGAGAGGTGCTTGGCCGGAAAAGCCTCCGTCTGGTAAACTATACGGCGGCTGAAAGAGGGATCATCGCAATGGCATCGTTGAATCTGGCTCTTGCTGCTCATCAAAAGGTAAGGCTACAAATTACAATTAGTTTTGATTTTTGTGTTTTCTACAATTTAGTTTAGATTCTTGAAATGAATGTCCGATTTGTTTCTCCTTGCAGACACGGCTTCTCCAAGTTTCTTGCAGAAGGAAAGAAAAGGAGCGCAACAATTTCGACCCGTACAAAGTCATTGAAATCACTCCTCCGCCGAAGAATCTCGGCATTCGCTGCTTTCCGCCCGTAAGTGTTCCATTGTCTTTGAACTACAGATTGGCTTTCCGACACGAACATCCGTTGTACTACTGACGTTGTGAATATGAGCTTAAGATTATGCGTCTACTTTCATTTTTTCGAGTCGGCATTAGAAAAATTTAATACATAGAGGTTTTAGGATTAGGAGGACACTTTGTGATTTTGGTCAATGTATTTTACCTTTATGCTAATTTTGTTCGGCGAGTAGCCCGTTTTCATTAGTTTTTCATAAAGTGGAAACAATAGATTTATTGGGAGTTGATTAGATACGATTTCTTAGCCTTACCACATGAAAAAAACATCACCCGTAGATGTTTTCGGCTAATCCATAGCCCGTGGACGTTAAATATGTGCACCAACCATACTATAATACACTGAGAGACATCAATCAATCACGAAGCTTTTGACTATGGAGTTATGAAGTTGTATGGATTGTCAAACGACTAATACAAGTGTCACTTTGTTTTTGAGTTTTGGTTTATAAAAGGTTTAATCTAATACCACTGTTCTGAAGAATTAAAGTAGAGTTGATTGGTAGACTTCAACCTCTGATTACCTTGTGACTTGGTCGTGGGATTGTTCTACTTGGTAGGAATAGGATCTCATGGTCCTGAAATATTCCTATTTTTTCAGGTTGCATGTACCTTGCTTAAGCTACTGAGTTCATTCACCTATTCTTTCACCTTTTTGTTTTTTTAGGTACAAGCTATGCATAACTTGAGAGCAGTGATACCCCTCATCATATTAAATGCCTTATTTGTAGTCTTTCTCTCAAACCTAGGGCTTGGTCTTGTGCAATCAAGGTGGGAAGTTTGGTTGGAAAGAAATATCAAAACCTTCAAGAATAAATTTAGAAATTGGTAGAGTTGTAGGGCATCTTTCATTCTTTTTATCCCTTCTGGCTTCTTGGTGTACTCTTTCATCTCTTATGTATCTCCGTTTCTTTTTTAATTTAATAACAATTGGAGCGATAAACCTAAGGTTCACTCGTAACCGTACTTGAACAAGATCTTGTTCTATAAGTTGTACGTGTACCTCTGTGTTCTTGAGTTATAAAAAAGGCCTAAGGTTCACTCTAAAGCAACAAGTTGTTGAACTGTTTTAAGGTCAAGGACAACTAATGAGCAAGACGTGTGTAAATAAATAAATAAATAAAATTATAAACAAGCAGGGAAAATTTTGTTGTACGTGGTACTCGCCTCACTTGTCTTCGACAGTGTTGAAAGGTGCAACAACAGTGTGCTTGGCGAGCACCACAGCGAAGACACTCGCTAAAGCTCTATAAAATACGAGAAACAACGACACTGCCTTGGCTTTGCCATGAACCATAAGTCACTCTCTAACAAACTTTGTGTTCTTTATTTTTTCTATAGTTCAGTTATCAATATAGTTTTGTTTCTTATCTATAGGGGGAAAAGGCATGAATCATCTTTTGTCTTACTGTCATTTTGGTCTTCTTTCAGAACTTACAATGTGGGGAGAGTGTGACAATAGAAGGCCAAACATACACCATCTCAGCTGTAACTCATCGCTATCAGCTCAGGAAGGGGAAGTATGAGCCAACTGAAAAGAGACTTGATGTTTTGTCCACAGGGAGGTATATATTGAACTTGTATCTAGAAAATTTATTAGAAAAATCTTGATACCTCATGAGGGAAAAAGANAGAAAGAAAAAAAAAGCCAACTTTACTGTTGTATTTATAAGATGTAATGCTAATCCTGATATTATGTTATTACCATGGCCTGTCTTGACCTACTTTGTCCATATTTCACATTTAAAGATGCCTTTAGGTAAATTTTGTTTGACGACCTACTCTAATTGAGGTAGATTCAAGTCTATGATATTTTTTGAGTAACTTGATGTGGAAGTTTGAGTAATTCATCAAAATCCACTCGCAAGAGATAAATGAGAAAGAAATAAGGAAGAGATATAATTGACATAGGTCGAAAGAAGCCTTGTTCAATCTCTTGTTAAAGTGGTGGTTCACCTGCAACATAAGTTTTTCAAACCTAGGTTCATTCCACTCTCCAAATAGCTAGCTAAGACTGATATTTATCCTTATGACATTTAACCGATATTCTACTATTGAAACAGCGCAACCATTTCTCTTTAGACAAATGATTGTGCCATTCCATTACCGGAAAAGATAGAGTAGTATTCAGTCACGTGATGAATGATTAACTAGAATTGATAGTAGTTGGAGTTTAGATTATGATTGATCCTCTTTTATCTACTGTAGTGAACAACCTATTATTATTTATAAGTAGGCTGTCAACTAAATATTGAAATTAGGTAGCAGGAGACGTTAGCCGGTTGAGTCTTGGTTATTTAAGGGTTGTTGTCATTTTCAAAATGGATGAGTTTGCAAGTAATTTATGTAAAATTGTGATTGATAATTTAAGTCTCCTGATTGTTTCTGAGTTCTGTGAAAAGCTTCTGCCTTGAAGACTTTCAAATTGATGATTGATGAATTTAAATAATTGAAATGAAATCCCTTTCAATTGATGCAATTAAATTTTATTTTACCTATTTCACAATTTATCCCCTTTTTTTTTTTTACTCGGTTTTAAATATCTAAACAATCAACAAACGTAACTGGCGGACTGAACTGTATTATAGGGATTAAGTTAAAACTTTTAAAATAATTAATTTGGTGTGTAATCTAAGCCGTACACATCATCGATCACGAAAATAAAATTGGGGGCTCATTAAAGTGTGTGCTGTGTGAAGTCATCCCTTATTTTTCCGATCTGAAGGATAACGTGACTCCACGCGCTTCTGTTTCCCACGCGCCATGGCTGACTCCACTCTTTCACGTGCGGCCCACAAGTGGCAAGAGATTTTTATTTTCCTTTTGGGATCCCGCCTCGTCAACCATTAATTATAAGTGGAAATTACAATAGTCGCCTTTGTAAAAAAAATAAAAAATAAAATTATAGCCCACTTTAACATAACACATTATAGTATTTTAAAATTGACACTTTTTGTGGGGGAGGTTCATGCAAATTTCACAAGTAATATTTTATATTGTTTTTATTTAGTGTCTAATGTTTCAAATGGCACATGTTTTTAATTACTCTGGTTTGAATTTAATTTCTATTTGATCCCTATATTTAGGTGACCACTGTATTTTGATTTAATAGAAAGATGAGCGAGCAATTAACATATTAAAATAGAGTGAGATATCATTTGTCGGCAGCAAGGCTATATAGGACTTCTTCAAATATGTCTTCAACTAGGTGAAGAATAATAGTGGACCCAACGACAATGAATATCAATAACCACATCAACATGTTTAACTATCATGTGATATTTTATTAAGTTAACTTCATTTAAGACCAAATAGAAACTAAATTCAAATCTTACGATGTAAAAATGTCATTGGACCCAATCAAAGCATAATCCAAATTTCAAATAAAAAAACATCACTTTTAAAATCTTAGGAACCGAAAATATAAATTTTTAAAATTTATATATCAAATAGAAATCGAATGTAAACCTCAAAACTTAAAATTTAATGATTAATCAAGACATAATTTAATTAGTGAAAGCATATATTATCGACTTAGGTCACCTGTTGTTGAACTACTAAAAAAAGTCATCCAATATACCAACGCTAGAGTCAAACCTAGACAATAGTGGACCTTGTAACAATGCATACAAATTGACTTGAGATTTTGGACACATGCATATTTCTAAAGAATACATTTACTTTTGACAATTGCAGTAATTTCATAAATTTTGTTGGATAATTACTCAAACTAAAATTTTACGTGAAAATTTAATAAGTTTTATCAATGGTTTTGTATGATAATTTTTTATTTGAAGTTTAGTGATTAAAATAAAATACTTATTAAATAAATATTTTAATACTTAAAAATTTGCTCAAAAGGTTCTAAATCATTTTATTTAAATATTTCTAGAAAGTCTATTCTAAGAAAACATGTTTTCCTTTCTACTTTTATCACAAAAGATGCTCAATTAATTAGATTCAAGTTTTTTCTTTTCCCTTTTTCATAGATTAGATTCAAACTTTCCATCTCCTTTTCTACTATAAACAAAAAAAGGCAATAATATATAAGTTCCATTAGCGCGTGTGCCACACAACCAACCAMCGGCGCGTAGTTTGCGTCTCTGTTGAGGCACTCTTAAGACGTCACAAAATGGCGGAAATCCAATCGCTCCGCCTCCCAATAGCGCTCCATCGACTCCTCACTCTTCGCTTCTGTTTTAAGTCTCTCATTTCCTCTGCGCAGAATCATCGATCTCCATATGGCCTCCGAGGATCTCTCCGCCGTTTCCAACGCCGATGACGAAAACTATGGATTCCGACGACAAGAGATGTATCAGAGCGACCTCGCCGGCACCGTCAACGCTTATGACCGGCACGTTTTTCTTTGCTATGAGAGTCCGGAGTCCTGGCCCTCCAATTTCGAAAAATCTGACTCCGACGTCCTCCCTAAGCTGCTCTCTGCGGCTCTCAAGGATCGCAAGGATGATATCTCTGGGAAGGTTAGCGTTGACAGAATCGATGTTGTTCCACAATCGGAAATCCAATTTATTCGGAATAAGGCGTTTTCGGTTTGATTTTGTTGGAGTTGATGAATTTCGTGCTCGGTGCTTTTGTTTGTAACTTTGTCTTTTATTTGGTTTCTCAGACGAAGCTGACAGTATTCGCGGGTCGTGAAGAAACTGGATTTTCGGATGGAGATGTGTTGATTTTCCCCGAAATGGTTAAATACAGGTGACTTGCAAGGATTTAATGGAATTAGTTGTGGTTTCCGCAAAATTTCCGGGAGATGATAAATTACTGTCGACTTAGTTACTGGAAATATGCAGAAATATGCTGTCTATTTCACGAGGATATAGTAATTCTTTCTATCGAATATTATGAAATCCTTGATTTCTTATTTATTTCTTCTCGCGTTGACTTTAACTTCTTTGGTTTCCAAGTAGATAATGAAGCTTAGGGTATTTTCCATTACTAGTTTCCTGAATCGGTATCATTTATGCACTAATCTGAAGCTAGAAAATTACTACAATCTTGGTTTTTGTATCTAGTATTTCTTATCAATTTGGGAGACCAGACTAGTAATGAATCAGTTAGATTTTGGAGGAATTGGAATGTTTACTCTTGTTATATGTGCCGCTCTTTCTTGAAGAGTGTTCTGCTGTGCTTTTGTTTCCATTTCCCTTCTTTCGTTTTTTTGTCTTGGTTTTCCTCTCGTAAGTTTTATTTTTTCTGTTTGGRATGTCAGGCATTTTCACTGTTTTTCCTTTTGATTTGATGATAATAGGGGTTTAAAAGAATCAGATGTGGATGGCTTTGTCGATGATGTGCTTGTGAATGATAAACCATGGGCATCCGGAGTGCAAGAGGTTTTGACTGGCTCTCATGTGTTTGTGTGTGTTCATGCTAGTCGAGATCGCAGATGTGGTGTCTGTGGACCCATTCTTGTTCATAAGTTTGATGAGGAGATTGAGTTGCGAGGACTAAAGGATCAGGTTTTGGTTAGTCCATGTTCACATGTTGGAGGACACAAGTATGCCGGAAACTTGATCATATACCAACATGGTGTGGATGGGAAAACTACAGGTCATTGGTAAGATTCTCCAAAGCTATTGTGGTGCTTAACATATTTACTGGAAAACGAACTCTAACCAAATATTTAAAATTTATGTGGGTTGAATTTGGGGTAAAACTTTATTGTTTATAGGTACGGATATGTAACTCCTGAAGATGTGCCTGGATTGCTTGAACAGCACATTGCCAAGGGCGAGGTTGTGGAAAGGCTTTTGAGGTTTGTGCTTTTCAAGTTACATTTTAATTCACGAACTGGATACTAAATTTATTTGAGCATTGCTGGTATGATAACAGCTACTAGTGAGTTATACGGAAAAATGCACTCTTTTTTATTGTTTCACTTCATGATTTTGTGGGATATACGTTTTGTATCAATAAACAATCTCTTCCTCTCAATATTTAATCATGTAGTTTAGGTTTACTGATCATGGACATAGTATCCTCCTCCCCAATTTTCATACGTTCTTTGGATCAGTGTCGTGAACTCTTAGAACTTAGTCTTCCGTTTACTGCTATGGAAGACTTCGTGTGGGCCTGAATGTCTGAGCTCTAAAGCAGATGATGCTGAGTGGACTTTTTGTTGTTAGTAGTTATTGTTTATGTTCAACACTCACCAATTTCCGTTGTCACCTTAACCCTCAGCGTCCCTCAGTAGATGGCCTAAATGGGTAGACTGCAATGTTTTCATTGGCTAGTTGACTGACTTGCTTTGGCTTCTCCATAGCTGTCCTGAGTCACCTATACTTTGGCTTCTCCAAAGAACAATCTATAAATTTCGAAGCAAGCAATTTCATTTTGCTTTCTGATTGCCTATTGATGCAATTATTCTGTTATTTGTCATTAAATTGGCATCACAATTTCAGAGGGCAAATGGGCGCAAGTCCTGAGGAAGGCAAGAAGGCAGGTGAACAAAATCTTCCAAATGGAGAAGATACAAAGAAAAGCAAGGTTGAAATTCAAGAGAATGGGGATCAAAGCAAAGTTGAAAAAACAGCAGGTTGTTGCCAGGGTAGTAATGGATTCACTTGTTGCAGAGATGAGACTTCTGGTTCTGGGAAAAATATCATAATCGAAGAAAATTCGAAAGAAGCTTCAGAAGATCAGGTACCGAAGAAGGCGAGTAAATCATGTTGTTGGGCAGGAAAATGGGAACAAAGTGAAATTCTTGCTGCTGTTGCGATTGTTGGAGCTGTGGCCACTGTTGCTGTTGCCTATAGCTTCTACAGGAGATCATCAGGTTAAAATATCAATGATATGTTTGTGTTTGCTCATAAAAATTGTCCCTTACACTGTTTTTTTGGTGGGAGATTTGGTTATATTGGTAAAGATGATGCACTTTTGCTGAATTAGATCTCTATAGATAGTAATGATATAACAGGATTGTTTGAGCAAAAACTAGGGTCGATTTTCTTCTAGCTCTATGATTTTAGGCACACAACAATTATTTGTTTCGATACGCATGCAAATGATGAATAACATAATGTTGGATGATTGGTGTTCATTCTCTGGCTACTTATTTCATTTTAAAATTATAGTTTCCTTTCTTTTTAAATTGAAGATTAAATTATAAGTTTGGTCTTAGTTTCAATTTTGTTATTTCTCATTTAAAATTTTTCAATTTAATTTAATTAATATTTCTTGATTGAACAAGTATTTTAATTTTTGTTCCCAAGGCACTCATTTAAATAATTTAGTTTCAGAATATCACTAAATATATATGATATTATTGTCTCTCAAATGCATCACAAAAATGAACGAACGAAAATGCATAAATGAGTTTGATGCCAAATGAATGAAAATACAAATGTGATCCTCACAAATTATTTTGATTATTTTAGTCTCTTTAATATCTACTTTGTTTGTCAAAGCGAGCATAACTCAACGGTGAGTAATTGACGTATATTTTCAATCAAGAGGTTATGAATTCAATTTTAATTGTAACTACTATATTTTTTAAAATATGTTCAAAATCCTAATTTGAAACATAAAGCACAAAATATTAATATTTTTAGTTGGAAGATTCAACCTCTCACCTTCCTATTTTATATACTAAACAAGATATATTCTAAACCTTAGCTAAATTTTAAAACGTAGTTTTTAAAAATAAAATTAATTAAAAATAAATGTTGACTATCCTCTTTCCTTGGGAGACCATGGCTATTTCCACGGTTCCACTTCAAGGCTTATAATTAAACCAACCAAGCCGGAGGAACATAATCGGTCGATTTCGGGTAGTGTGGTAGGAACCTTAAAATAAACCGGTCGGTCTGGATTTCGACCGAGTATACACCGACCGAACTGTTAACAAAAACCCCACTAACCCTAAAATCCCCTTCCCTGGTCCCCTTGTGTCGGGTTTTGCCAAAATTCCAACTCAAACGCATCGCCCTAGGTTCATCAACAGCGTTCATTCTGCTTTGTCTGCTCTCCAGTCTTTTTGAGCTCCCCTCCTCCCCACTCGAATTGGTTGAGCGAGGTTTTCCGGGAAAACAATGGCGGATGAGGGTCGCTCAAGCAGAAAGAGGAAGAGGGCGAAGCGTCGTGGAGAGGACAAAAACAAAGATTTCACGAATAATATTGCGGATACTGCTCGACCTAGTAGTCGAAAAGACATCGTTGTTTCTGGTTCTTCCGGCGGGAAAAAATTCCAGAGAGTTTCCGGTTCGTCTAGTTTTCTCGATAAGGTTTGACTTCTATTCGATACTGACCTTATTTTGAAATCAATTTTACTTGGGAACTTAAGGGTTAGTTGAATGCACTGTGGTCGGGTGATGATGCAGATGCGGGCTCGTTTGTCAGGAGGGCATTTCAGGATGATTAATGAGAAGCTGTATACCTGCACGTAAATGGCTGTTTCTCTTGTTCTTTTAGTTTCTTTTCTCCCCCTTGTGTTGCCAGTCTTTACTGCTTGGTTTGTGAGTTCAATTTTGAATCGAATTGCCCTTGGATTGAGAAGTTACTTTGAATTTTTGTTATCTCGTATAATTTTCAAATTTCAGCTTTTTTATTAACCGAGACTTGAAACAGAACTCTTAACTTAAATTTTGTTTAGTTCATTACAAAGTCAGACCCACATTCTCTCAAGCCAGTTGATCTTATTTTGGCGTTTCTATCTTTCAGAGGGGAAGAGGCACTTAATTATTTCAAAGAAGATCAGGTTCTGTTTGATGTGGTAAGTTCTTCTGTTCCTACTTCCTGAACTCCTAAACGTAGATTCTGTTTCCATTTAAGAATTCCTTTTTTTCACACAACACACTCACAGCAGAAGTTCATCTCTCTGTCTCTCTTTCTCTCTTTCTCTCTCTTCACAACAAAGTATTTTCAATAGATGAAACCTTAACATTGACTATATAATCATATAATATGGAATTTCTATATACTGATCTCCGATGAAGTTTTAGGAGGTGAATTTCGTTTCACAGGGCCTGGGACTAGGGTTAACTAACATTTTGATGGCTAGTATCATACAGGATATCAAGAGCAAATGTCGCATTGGCCTGAGCAGCCTGTGAATTTAATCATAAAATGGCTGAAAGAGCATGATCCCTCATTTATTGTGGCTGATTTTGGCTGTGGTGAGGATTAAGAATAATCTGTTATCTTCCCCTGATTCTCCTTGATAAATATTATATGTACTTGATCCTTTAAGAACATTCATTCTTATCAGTTCGTTTTTCTTATCTTTTTTTTTTCTCCCTGAATCACAGGGGACGCACGCCTTGCAAAGAATGTGAAGAATAAAGTTTTCTCGTTTGATCTGGTTTCCAAAGATCCTTCCGTTATTGCTTGTGATATGTCAAATGTATGTACTATGTTTGAACTTAATGTTGTGAAGATGCATTGAGACATATGAATGAAATTCATGCATGAAAGTTAGCTATACACTTGTCGGATATCTTGCATCCATCTTATAAATTTGCATCATTAAGGCTGAGTTATCATTCTGTACTTTGTAGTTTTCAACAACTAGAAAGTTGTTCAGAAGATTCTCCATTCTTATGGGTTTTTTTCTTTTTTATTATTATTTTTTTATACATTTGGTGATATATTGATTAAGTTCAACCATGGGAGAATAAATCATGGTGAATTGTTATTAGTGATTGAAGGGACACAAAGATGATGACCACTTGTATAACACTTAAATGTCAACAAACAGCTATAACTTAGACTAATTGAAGATATAATTGATTTCATTTCAATAGGTGCAGTTTTAGAATGATAATAGTTATCTATATTGTAAAATTTTGAGGACTTGACTAGATTGTTGGATAACTGATATGTCAGTTCTTTGAAACATATGTGGCCTTTTGTTTTCCAATCATGTTATTTGAGCAGTCGCTGTTGCTATTTGGCTCTCTCAATAATCCCCGCTGTTGATGATATTAGACATGCCCATAGGAGCATTACATTACATCCATCCCTTCATTTGTCTGTTCATGAGATTCATATTAGACTCATTAGCTTTTGTCTTCAAGTATGAAAGAGACCTCTGAACGCTGGTTAATGTTTATGTCTACTGGCACTGCAGACACCTCTTGATTCTTCATCTGTGGATGTCGCCGTCTTTTGCCTTTCACTTATGGGGGTCAATTATGAAAGTTACTTGGCGGAAGCACGGAGAGTACTTAAACCACGGTTCGTGGAACTTTTGGTTCTCAATTAGTATTATAGCCTGATAATAATTGTTTTTTCACTTGGCGGCTGAACTTTTAGTTTCTTCATGCAGTGGATGGCTTTTAATATCAGAAGTCAAAAGCAGATTTGACCCAAGCAATGGAGGAGCCGACCCCAAAAAGTTCATAAAGGCTGTTTGTGATCTAGGTTTCGTCTCAGCCTTAAAGGTATACTTATCTTCCATTATTTAGCTAGCATAATCTGTTTCTTCTGGCTGCTAATTTCTAAATACCATGTACAGGACTTCTCAAATAAGATGTTTATCTTGTTATACTTCAAGAAAAAGGTTTGCATATGTTCAGAGTAACTTTGTCCTCACATTGAAATGCTAACTGTTCGTTCTTGCATATCATATTTGTAATCCTCAACCACTTGATGCTTCTTTGGCCTCTTTTATGCAGGATGAGAAAATTTTGAAGGGGAAGGATGTCGATTGGCCCGAGCTAAAACCTTGTTTATACAAACGTCGCTGAGTTTGCATCTTCTTTATTTTTTTTGTTTTATGTTCAAAAACCCCCTATCCAATTACTTGCTAATAGCTTCTATTTAATATAAGCTTATAAGCTTATTGGGAATCATTTTTAAGTTCATTGATGTAGTATAATGAAATTCTGGTCTTAGTTGAGCAATTACTCTGAAGTCTGAGGCTCTCTTGGGTGGTGGTTCATGGTGAGAATTGAGTTGGTCTTGGAATGGCTTGATCACAGGTTGGTTTTTTAACTAGAAAATTTAATTATTTCTGTTAATTTTAAGGGATAGGTTTTAATAACAACCAATTCTATTAAAAAAATGATAAAGCCAATTGGGTTATAATTAGATAAATAAAAAAGAAAAGAAACCAATTTCTCTATACACCCCCTTTATCCAGGGGGTGCCCTCTCCTGTCGGAGGTGTTCTATCGTTGGATTATTTCTTTTAGGGCCAAAGTTCGATTTTTTATTCAAAAAAGAGAAAAGGAAAAATCAATTTCCATACCATGATTTCGTCCTCAATTTTTAAACAAATGCTCCACATTTTAAATGTCAATTTTCTCACTCTTCCATCTTCATTCTATTGTTTTCATGGTATTAAATTGATATTTTCATAGGTTGAACATGAATGTGAGGAGTAAATTGGCATCTTCGTAATATTACAAAAAATTGATAAAATATACAAAATATCAACAAAATCTTAGTAGCATAGATATAATATTATTATCAATTATTTTTCAATTTATTTAAAAATGATGAAATACTTATGGGTTAATTTAATAGTTTTACGAATTCTTTGTTTTTATAATTTTTTCAAAAATATCTATCAACGTCAACATTTTATCGATATTTTGATCGACATTTTCATGAAATTTATTTGCTCTATCAAAATAAATATCTTTCTCTATCGGACTCATTTCAATTATATATAAATTTACTAAAGAACATCAAATGATTCCCAACGTGTAAATCTGATCCTTTTTTACTTGATCTGAACATTTTTCCTAATCTCACATCAATTTAAAATTGATTCTCATTCTAAACATTACCCAACAACATCGATGACATATAATTTTGGATCTGAACACTATTGAAATTGGACACTTACCATCACTTGCTTTCAATGCCATAGTTTAGTTAATGAATTTAAATTCCTACTCATTCAAGTACTATTCCTCACCAATCCAAATTAATAATGGAATTAATGAATGAGACATTTATAATTTGGTTGTAACACACCACGTCCCATGTCTAATCCAAAATCAATGTGAATGCATCCCCTCATCTCCTCCTCTCTTTTCAATTTCAATATCCTCTAAACAAAACCAATCACGTGAAACCATGCTTTAATCATACAACCACGTCATTAATAAATTTCTATAGATTTGAAAGAAAAAAAAATGTGTCTAACAAATTCCTAAACTTTCATAAATCTCTAAATTTTATCAGATATTTAAGAAATCCATAAACTTTCAATTTTGTAGGTAATAGATCTGTCTATCAATTTTAATAATATTTATATTCTAACTACAATGGTATTATGTTTTTGACAAGAGGGAGAGAGGAAGAGAGAAAGAAGAAATAGAAGAAAAAATTGTTTAAAAGAAATAGTTCCAATGATTAGAGACAACATTAAAAGTTCAAATAGAGGGTAAACTTAAAATTTAACCGAGCACATTATATTTCAATTTTGACCCTTCTTCGCCAATACTTATTTCCAAAGTAGAAACTCCACATTTGACCAAAATTTTGGTGGAGAAATTGTTGTTTGACGAAGGAGGTGCGTTTCTCACTTCATTTAATAATCTTCCATAATCTCTTCTGCCCATTTGTCAAGCATGCCCACCTCTCTCCTTCAACCAATGCATTTACTTTCAATCGCCATTAGTTTTCTTACTGTTCATCTTTTTCATTTGTACTTTTCTGGGGGAGTTCAACTTGAACCTACCAATGGTTGAAATGGGTTCCCAATTGGGTATTTATCTGATTGATTTATTGTTAGAAAAGTCAAACACCTGGTGGCCAAACCACTTTACTTCCTTTTACGCACTCCTACTGTTTGAGAAAATGTCTGAACTAACTCCCCAGCAGGCAGAGGTGCTTCTGAGATAGTAATCCGTTCAGTGAAAGCTACCTAAGCATTTTCTTTCTTTTGGGTGCGTTTTGAGGATGATTCGTTCTGGCCCCACTTGTAATTTTTTAAGTAACTGATCGGATTGATTTGAATTATCGCAGAATATTGTTTCGTATCTTTTCAGTCCGTCAGGTTTCCTTCCCCACGTACCCGTTGCCCTGTTTCCCTCTCTGTCTTTCTCCCTTTCCTTTCATTGTTTGAGTTGTTTCATACTGTTCCACGACACAGACCCAGTTCCTTTCCGCGGATTTTCTTTTTCCTGATGCAGGTTTGGCATGTCCCATACGCGGAGGAGACTTGAAATCACAATCTTTGGAGGGTTAAGTTCCAGTGACAAATTGGATCTTTCAGCCATTTTCCAACTGAACTTTGTTATTTTGCTAACTGCCCTTTAAATTCGTCTGTTTCTGCATTCATTTAGCCTTCTCTTTTCCTTTCCTGTCCCCTTTTTTGGCTTCATTTTTCATCCCTGCCAATGACATAGCTTCTTGAGTATATTTTCATAGTTCTTTAACTTCGTGAGCTCGCCGTTCAATCAACTATTTCTCTCTCTCTCAAGTTCTAGCTGTGCTTCAATTTTTAAGATTTTTTTTTTTGGATTAAAATCATGTCTTAAGTGTTGAAATGGGGTCCGGTAATGGGTTATGTTCAAAAGAGTTTGATTTGGATGCTAAGTGGCTGGTCGATCCGAAGCAAATCTTTGTTGGGCCGAGGATTGGGGAGGGTGCACATGGCAAAGTGCACGAGGGGAAGTAAGTTATCCTAATCTTGATTCTTCTCTCAGCTTTGAATTCTTGGGTTAGAAGTTTGTTATGTTCTGTTCAATTCTGATTTCTGAATTATTGGGTTTGAAATTGTCGTATTCTTTTTTGGTTGGGGAGGAGTTGAAGAATATTCTTCATTTCTCTGGCTTCGAATACTGATTGACGGACATACAATATGTATACGCTACATTCTGATTTTCCTGTTACTTTATTCATACTTGCCATAGAATGAGGATTAAGAGGGTCCTGTTAGAGGTGATAAAACAAACAGAAATTGGCTATCTTATGGGGTTAAAAATAACTTTCCTCACAAGTAAGGAGTAGCATTTCTTTACTTTCTGATGTGATTTACTTCAACTTGATCAAAAGTATTGTTGCATTCGACCTATTTGTTAAAGTTAGAAGTTAACCACGTCAGAAAGTAAAGAGGAAGATTTTTTTCTTCTTGGGGGGGGGTGGTTGTTGTTGAATATTGCTGTATAGTTAGTTAATACAATAAATATCAAGTTTATGCATATTTTTAGTGGCTTATGTTGTTCAATGGCATCTTGTTACAGTGCAATTATAATTCTTTTTCACAATCCAGATACAAAGACCAAAGTGTTGCTATTAAAATAATTCGGAGAGGTGAAACCCCTGAAGAAATTGCAAAAACTGAGGCACGCTTCGCTCGGGAGGTTGCAATGTTAGCCAAAGTCCAGCACAAGAATCTTGCAAAGGTTGTAAGTACAGTGTTTAGTCAATAGCATTTCATTGCCAAGTAATTTGATTGTTCTCATGGCATATTTCTCTGCATTTTCGGATTTCTTTCTCTTTATGGGTGCTTTCTGCAGCCTTCTTTGTACTCTCATAGTACTTGATGAACATTCAGTTTCCTGAAAATGAAAAAGAAAAAGTACTTGGCTTATGGAAATGAATGGAGTTGCATAATAACTAGTGGGATTGTGGGGTTGATTTGTCCCCAGTTTATAGGTGCTTGCAAGGAGCCTATTATGGTGATAGTGACTGAGCTTCTTTTAGGTGGTACGTTACGGAAGTACCTGTTGAGTAGGCGGCCGAGGTGCTTGGACTTGCCTGAGACAGTCGGCTTCGCACTTGATATTGCACGTGCAATGGAATGCTTGCATTCCCATGGGATCATTCATCGTGATCTCAAACCTGGTATGCTTCTCTTAATTGTACTTTGAAGGCTGATGAATCAAAATTCTTCAGGTAATATAGACTATTATTTACTATGGAACATTGATGAAAGAATACAAGTCAGCTGGAATTATGTCAAGATGATTGTGCAATTTTATTATCGATATTGTTCTTCAGTGGCGAGTATAAGATTTGAAGCCTCACTGCATCTATAGTTAGATTTTAGATTTCTTTTTTAGTATACTATATACTGGTTTCAGCTCCACTAAATAGACAGTAACTAGATCTTGGCATTTTAAAGGAAGATCAATCATTCTAATCCTAGCAACATTGCTATCAATTCCCAGAGAATTTGATCTTGACCGCAGACCACAAAACCGTTAAACTTACAGACTTTGGTCTGGCTAGAGAAGAGTCAATAACAGAGATGATGACAGCTGAAACTGGGACTTACCGATGGATGGCTCCCGAGGTAAAATCTTGGTTAATTTATTAATCAATATGCCGATGCTGCTGCTCTCTGATGTTTCTGTATATCCCCTTGTATACTTGGTCTCAGTTATACAGTACAGTCACTTTGAGAAATGGAGAGAAGAAACATTACAATCACAAGGTGGATGTTTACAGCTTTGGAATCGTTTTCTGGGAGATTGTCCAAAATAAGTTGCCTTTTGAAGGCATGTCGAATCTACAAGCAGCATATGCAGCTGCTTTTAAGGTGATTTATTGTACTATCATCAAAATACATTTTAGTAAAATAATCGACTGTTGAACGATTTCTCTCAAGTATGTATCTGTTGTCCTGTTGGTAATCAGAACAACTAACTATAAATAAGAGTAGCTTGGTTTCATTTCTTAAATCTTGAAAACATAAGGATATATCCCTCCCTGGTAGAGCTCCGCAGCCAGTGCCACAGTATATATTCCACCACGTCCATTATAGAGTAGGAGCAAATGTGATTCTTTTCCTCCTTTATTTAAGCTGGTTTTCTCTAACAATATTGGAGGAAGCTCCCTGATGTGCAAAACATAGAACTGCAAAAACCAATCTTCCGAAAAAGCTTATGGCTGCAGATTTCTGTTACATGTTCTTATTGTTGTTTTGCCTCGTTTTGATTGAATAGAGCCGTGCATTGTTTTTGTAAATGTATGTCTCATACTTGTAACATCTCCATCTCTTTTTTTTCCTTCTTTTGGCATTGTTGATACAGAATTTACGACCCAGTGCGGAGAACCTCCCTGAGGATTTAGCCCCAGTTATAACTTCCTGTTGGACCGAGGATCCGAACGCTCGGCCTAACTTCAGCCAAATCATACAAATGCTCTTGAGATATCTATCCACCATTTCATCAGAAGAGCATGTTACATCACCAAGAATGCACCCGCCGGAGAATGCAGTACTGCCACCGGAGTCTCCAGGAACAAGTTCTTTGATGGCAGCCACGAGACATGGCACCCGGGAAGTCCCAAACGACGAAATGGAAGAGAAGCCAAACAGTTTCTTCTCCTGTTTCACTGGTAACTGTTATTGATCCTTCCCAAGAAGAGAAAACAAACTTCGGTCTCTGATACTCCCATGAAATCAGAGCAGGAGATCCTCACCAACCGTGCAACTGAAGTGGGCAAAAACAGAAAAAAAATAAAAAGGTCCATATAAGTGTAGTTGATCAAAGCAAAATTGTGATTCAAATTTCATTAGTAATATATGTTTGAGACTTGGATCCGTAAAAGGGGCACACAGAGTGTGGAGTTTGGGGTTGCTGTAATGTCAAACTGTAAGAACAAAAATTTCTCATCCAAATGCCTCCCTTCTCACTTTCTGTATCGTTGGAGTTTTGAGAGGAGAGGCCATTTCGTTATGGATTCAGTTCTTAACAATGTCGTTTCGTCGTCCTTTTATGTCGTTTTGGATACTCGGTTATTCACTACTCAACGTTGTCGTTGGACTGTAAAAAATTAAAAGAACAAAACGCCGTTGCCGGGGATCGAACCCGGGTCACCCGCGTGACAGGCGGGAATACTCACCACTATACTACAACGACCAGATGTTAAAAGGTTCTAAAATAAATTATAAGTAAAATAAAATAAGAAGCTGGAGAAAAAGGCGTTTAGTGTTGTAGCTTGGGCGGCAAGTATCCGTGTCGTGTCCCCACCTGAAATTTACCAGACATTACATTTAACTCGTTTTTCGAAGCCACAACGCTTCCTTCCACCGGACTCCCCAGCTTCGTCTTCCATACCTCAGGCTCGGCCCCAGCTTCCGTCAACGTTGGGGCCCACAACGCATTAACATTCTTGCGTTCGTTCACAGGTCACACATCTCTTCCGAACCTGGGGTCTGGTTTACGAGCCTCCACCGAGCCCGGGGCCTAATTTTCCCGCTCACACTGCCACAGTTGGGACTCGGGATTGCACTCTTCCTTTGTCTTACATTACTTACTCCTTCACTAAAACTTAGCGAAGTCATAGTGACCAAAACCAAAAGCCAAACCTCCTATTTCTCTTCCCCTTCTCTCTGAAATGCGCTTCTTCTTCTATTTCTGATCATCTTCAGCTCAGCTCTTGAAGAACATGGGAAGGTGAGTGTAATTTTTTCATGAAATTTCTGTGTTTATTGAACACAGATAGCAAAATGCGTCTTTTTTTTTTGTTACCCCATTTCTCTGCTCGTCGTCCTCCTTTGGATTTTTCTAGTAGTTTATTTATGTTTCTGGGTCGATTGGAAATATTGTCCAAGATGATGGGTTTGGTACCATTTTTCTTGAGTGTGATGTTGATGTTACCCTTTTGCTTAATCGAGAACTCTAAGTCTCGCTCTTAGGATTTTACCCTTTTTTCCAATGCTTAGCTAATTAGGGGGAAATGCTGAAACAGAGGATGTGGATTGTTTAGTTGATAATGGGCTGTCAATATTCAAGCTTGAAAGGGAAACATAAAACTATATCTTGTTTAAGCTTTTCCCATTTGTTGCTTGCGAGCTTGGTCACGGCATTTGAGAGCTTGATCATTCATGTTAATGGCAGAGCTGAACATCCCACACTATGGCATTTCTAAAGCCTAACAAGATCCTTTAAGGTTAATAACTTGGGAGAATCTTCTGTTTTTAACATTTTTGGTTAAAAATTCAGAAGCTGTTCTGGTTTTGATCATATAAATTTTAGTTTCTAATATTCTCTCGTGGTTAGAAACTTAGAATGATTTGAGCTTTGACATTGATCTCCGAAAAAAGAAAAGGTTGAAACTGAACTGTAAATCCATCCAATGTTCTGTACTAAATGCTGTTTGTCATGTAAATTCTTTGAGTTGATTTCTTTTTGCTACTGTTCGAGCTATCGAACCCAAGATAGACGACCTAATGATGGATAGGTGCTTTCATGTCCTATCATTGCACTCAAAACAATCATTTAGGATCATTTTAAGAACTTGCTTGACCAATCTGATAAACAAATGTACTTCAATGTCAATCCACATTCGAGTTTTCCTTCTTCACATTTCAATAGTTGGCAACTATTTTGTTTCTTGAGCTATATAGACTCATTTTAAATGCTCGACTCCTGCCTTCGAACCCTTGTAAATGCTTGCAGATCCCTTTACGGTTGCTCACTTTGTAGTCCTATATATTATATGTCTAGTGACTGAACTTTAACTTTTAGTATCTCATTCTCACAGGTCTTGGATTTTCGATAGTCGAACGATTGCAAGAAAAGTCAGAAACATCAGTCAATGTTCTTCACAAGTAATTAAAGATTGTGATGCGAAACGAGAATGTCCAAACTGTCACTTTATTATTGATAATACAGATGTAAGTTTGAACTTCATTCGGTGTTTGTTGATTCATAGAAATAGTTCAATTCAATATGAACTGAAATTTTATTCTTACATATGCAGTAAATAGCTCTTTCGCATCTTATGAGACACTTGAACCTTTTGAAGTTTTCGTTATTGATGAAACACTTCCAACAAAATTTTTAAAGTGTGATTTTGGATGCTACCCCTTGAATGTATGGCTTTGGTTTGAATGTGTTCTAATGGCATTTTCTTTGCAGGTTTCTCCTGAATGGCCTGGATTGCCTGCTGGTGTTAAGTTTGATCCAACTGATGAAGAAATAATGGATCACTTAGCGGCAAAGTGTGCTGATGGAAACTTAAAGCCGCATGCCTTAATTGATGAATTCATCCCCACACTAGAAACAGACCAGGGAATCTGCTACACTCATCCAGAAAATCTCCCCGGTTAGGAATTCATGCGTGTCGGTTTTTTGTTTTCCTATGCTTTCATAACTTTTACTAATCAAAGGACAAGAGTTAGTATGAAAGAGGCTCCTGTTGTAATTGTGATCAAGAGTAGTAGTATACTACTAATCTTTTTCAGAGGCTTTGGATTTTATAGGAAATAAATTCCTTTGCTTAAGAATTGCACATTTTGATTGCCTAGATTAATTCTTCAATCTATTAGTTGATTATATCCCAGTTTATGCAAAGTTGAGGTGTAGTATGATTAAGTAAATTGAGTTATGAAACATTGTTCTCTTGTTCAGAATAATAACATTTTTAAACAACTCAGGTGTTAGAAAAGATGGGAATGATGCCCATTTCTTTCACAAAACAAGCAATGCATATGCTTCAGGTCAAAGGAAGCGCCGTAAGATCGAAACTGAACATAGTTCAAGCATTGAACATTTCCGCTGGCATAAGACAGGTAAGAACAAAGCTGTGATAGAAAATGGTGTTCATAAGGGATGGAAGAAGATCTTCTCTCTGTATCGAAGTTCGAAGAAAGGCTCAAAGCCCGAAAAATCTAACTGGGTGATACATCAATATCATTTGGGAACTGAAGAAGATGAGAAGGAAGGCGAATACGTTGTGTCGAAGATTTCTTATCAACAGCCAAAGCAATCCAGTAAGAGCAGTGATAATGTGCTCATTGAGGATTTTGATGCCACACCCCATCGAACTAGTCCTAGAACTCCCATGTCGAATCCTCCGGTTCCGCCTCGACCTGGAAAATCTTATTCCTTCAATGCTGTTGCTGCCAATGCTCTGCCTCAGTCATTTGCAAAAGTAGCTCTCTTTTATGTCATTGCATTATTGCCTTTACTCTAAAGAAGTGTTCATCTGTCAAATTCTCACTTAAGTATGCTTTTTGTTGATTAGGAAGAGGAGTCGACTCCGGAGGCATCTCATGCTTCTTGTCCTAATATTTCATCGGAGAATGATATGGGATACTTGGCATGGTTGGCCGGAGAATCCCAGGATATAGATGATGCTGAATTACATTTCCTTGAAGACAACTTATTGTGCAATGAAGTCATGGATTCTGGTGCTTTTCTAAGTAGCAGCCAACTGAATCAAATCTCTTTCCCTCTCTCCAATAGCAGCACTTGCCACGAGATTGTGAATGGTAACGTTCCGTGCGGAATTGCAGACCTCGAGAACCTCGAATTGGATACTCCACCTGATTTCCATCTTGCTGTAAGTTCACCCTCTCATTTTCCCAAGATTCAAATTTTCTTCCTTGATCTATAACTCTGATTTATGGCCTGCAGGACCTGCAGTTTGGTTCTCAGGAGAGCATTTTCGACTGGATCGACAGGATATGAAGTGAATATTGAACCGAAATCCCATGAAAATAACATGGCATTTCGTGGTAAAACTCTTCGCAGCCATTTGGCTTTGAATGTCATGGCATTTCGCCCTTTGCAAGCCATCTGAATTTCGAAATTCCGAGGCATGTTACGACTTACACCCATATCTATCAGTTATTTCGAACTGTCAGGTTATCAAAATCAAAAAACAGGCGGAGAGCAACAGACCCCGTGATCAAGCTGGTTCTTGCTCAAATTTTGTGTTAGGTGCACCATGAAGGTGCTTGAAGGTTAGTTCATGTTTTTGAGATGGGTGGCTGGGAAAATGTGGAAACTGATGATCTACTATTTGGTTTTGGATGTACTTAATATCTTCTGTGATTACTGGTTTGAAAAAGTGTAGAGCTGGTGATGCATTTTGAGAAGATGCATGCATGCAGTCGGTGACATTCATCTTTTGGCTAACTTTAATCACACTTTGTATAAGAAATGTGTGGTATTTGATATATCTATTTCCATTTTCTGTTTTTTCTTCGGATAATATTTAGGTGTTTTTTTTTTCAAAAAAGTTATTCTCTCTTCTTTTATGCACTTAAATATTATTCTTTTTTCTCTTGTTTTCAATTACGAGTCACTCCTGATAACAAGTCAAACGTATATTTATTCCAAAAATTGTTGTTGCTATGGGCGACATTAATTTAAGGACGGAGAGAATAGTAGCCTACGTATTTGTTAGGTCTCCTATTAGAATTGCCATAAGAGGTAAAAAGAGAGATAAAGAGTAATGTCATCCTTAATCACAATTAAAAAAAAATTCTTCTCATTTCAAATTGGGTTTTTTATAAATGGAAATTTGCTGAAGGACTAACTAGTAAACTATACACAAAATTTAACCAATAAAATACTCAATCAAACCACAGGCGTGTTTAAATGGAACTAAGAAACTACCTACACTTTTGACCTAAAATTAAGCAATTAAACAACATCCAAACTCAAGCAATAAAATGGCTTATACAACAATAAAAATATCAAACATAATTAGAAAAATGTTCTTTAGCCAGTCTAAAATCTTTGAAAAGAAAAACAAATCAAAGTTATTAATTTTAATGGGTTCAAATTTAAGTTTAAATCGATGAAATTGAAAATTTTACAAAAAGAAAATGTACTTCACTAAGTATTAATATACGGTTAAAAAAAAACTATTCACAAGTTAAATTATAAATTTGTTTCTTATGGGTTTGAAAAAATTTTCAATTTGGTCCCTATAATTTTATTTTAATCTTCATGGTTTGGACTTAATTTCAATTTGATATTTATGATTTTGTTAAATCTCACGCATTATCCTGACTGTTGTTTTACCGAATTTAAAAACTCACTTATTTTCTTTTATTTTTTTTACTTTTAACTCTAAATGTCATGGCAAAAAACATTTGCCAATATGGCAAGCATAGAGACGAAACACCACATAAATATTATAAATAATAAAAAATAAAAAGCACATAATAAACATTAATAATAAGATTTAACCTGCGTAAAATTGAAAAAAGAAATCCTCAGCGAAAAAAAAACCCAAAGAGGCAGAGGCAGAGCAGAGGGCAGCCGAAAACGTTGTCGTGGATCTCAAACAACGTTAAACCCAAAACCCAAAACCCTGTTGGATGAGTTGTTTGATCCTCATCTTCTTCCATCAATGTTTTCTGCCCCGCTTCGAAGACTCTCTTCCAATAGGGTTTCTACTCTTCTCCTTTCCAATCGCTTCAAGTATGTTCTTCTCTCTGTCTTTTCTATAGGAAGACGACCCACCACCAAAATTTGGGTCTTTTTCCGGTTTCTGTTACGATTTCCAAATCTTATGTTTTAGTTTCAGGGGAACCACTTTTGCTGTGTCTCTATGGAGTCATTTACCCTTCTTTTCAAATCTATTTTACCTATTTCCTATAATTGCTTTGAATCCAGTTTTCCCCTCATACTTTACGCTTCCATTGCTTCTCCTTCCCAGTTGCGAAGATTTGGATGTTTTATTGCTTCTTTGTTCGATTATGGTTTTAGATATGACGATCTTGAAAGTTAAATTTGTTTAGTGAATAAATGAAGTTATTTGCTTAGTCATAGTGCTTGTTCTCATTTGCTAAGCAACCAGATGAATTGATACTTATTCTTCAATTCAATGTAATCTTGACGAAGATTCTTATGGGATTAAATTTTTCCATTTTATGTGTGCAGCAATGTCGTTTCATTGACAGATTTTCATTCAGATGTTGCTTCATCATGCAATGTGGCCCATAGAAGCATTCGTGGTGAATATGTACTGCCTTGTACGACCAATGTCGTTGGTCCTTTCAACGGGGTGTCCCGTTGTATGTCGACATCGAAGGGAAGGAGTATGCGTAGTAAGGTGGAGAGGAGAATGAGAAAGGAGTCTGGTAAAACCTTAAGGGAGATCCGAAGAGCTAAGAAAATAAAGAAAAAGCTGATGACAGAGGAAGAGAGGCTCCTTTACAATCTCAAAAGAGTATGCCATTTATAAGTTTCAATCCATGTTGATAACTATGATGACATATAGATTTTTTGCATATGTTCTTTGTTCAAAGTTTTGGATGATTAGAAAGTTTGTTTTTGTTTTAGCTGTAGGATGATGCTACTAGATGTATGGTTTACATCTGATTTGTTTTATTACGCAACAGTATTCGAGATCCCCTGCCGATCTCGTCCATGTTTAGGAAATCATTGGGTTGAGTTTTAATATGACCACATTTCTCACGCATCATTCACAGGCCAAGAAGAAAGTAGCATTACTTTTACAACAACTTAAGAAGTATGAACTACCGGAGTTACCATCACCTCGTCACGACCCTGAACTCTTGACCCCCGAACAGCTTCAAGCTTACAAAAAAATAGGCTTTAGGAATAAAAATTACGTCCCAGTTGGAGTTCGTGGAGTGTTTGGAGGAGTAGTCCAGAATATGCATCTCCATTGGAAGTTTCATGAGACTGTGCAAGTGTGCTGTGATAACTTCCCCAAAGAAAAAATCAAGGAAATGGCGACCATGCTTGCAAGACTAAGCGGTGGAATCGTGGTGAATATACATAACGTGAAAACGATCATCATGTTTCGTGGAAGAAACTATCGCCAACCTAAAAATTTGATACCGATCAACACCCTTACAAAGAGGAAGGTGCACATACTCGATCATATGTTTGTTGTTTCAGTTTCTTTGCTTTATTTTTTCTTTAAAAGTACTTTTTCGCTTTTTCGCTTTTTGTTTTTCATTTTTGTGGTTTATAAGTTGAGAAACAACCCTGCTCATACTTGGATAGAGATAGAATTACGAGGTGATATAAATCAAATATGGAAAAGGTATGTTAAGTGGATAGAATATTGGAGTGTTTATTCTGTATACATACTTCTTTGACTTGGGATTTAGAGAATAAATCTAGCATAGAAATGAGCTGTTGAATAAAAAGGTAAGCGTTGGTGCCATAGTTCTAGAAAACCAGTGCTCTCTTTCCTTATCTCTAGAAAAGGGATTAAACAAACTGCAATTTTTGTTCCTCAATCTTGTGGTATAACAGTTGTTCATCGTCATATGCAGGCATTATTCAAGGCCAGATTTGAACAAGCTCTTGATTCTCAGAAACTGAACATAAAGAAGACAGAACAAGAGCTCAGACGAAAGGGTATAAACCCGGAGGATCCTGTGGCTATGGCTAGCATCCAGAGAGTAGCTTCAACATTTTTTAACGCCATTGACAAAAAAGAAGGTACCCCTTACGTCTTCTATGGCGATAAGCAGACGGGGACTGGAAGCAAGATTAACATGGCAGAAGCCGAATCTAATAGTGACAGTGACCAGGAAGAGTTAGACCGATTCATAGCTGAGATAGAGGATGCAGCAGATCGCGATTGGGTTGCTGAGGAAGCGGCCGAGAAAGAGGAGCTTAGCCAAATCAGGTATAGAAATAGAGAAGAACATGGCGGGAGATTCAGAAGATCCGACATGCGGACAAATGACAGTTCTGAAAATGAGATGGAAAAGCCAAGAGTATGGAGACAGAGAGACAGTAAGCAAAGATTACACGACAGTGAAGAAGAAGATGATCATGATCATGAAAATGAGGAAGAATGGGATTCTGATGATGGCCGGAATGCTAACAATATTGAAAGTGGTACGGATGATTCTGATGGAGCTCATGGGATTGTCAAGGCGACTCGAGGAGCCAGAGGGAGGCATGATTTAGCCAAAAACAAAAGTTTTAAGAGAGATGTGCAGCAGCCCTTTGTCAGAAAAAGGATGGATACAGAAGCTTCAGAGCCAGAAAATATGCTCAGTGATCTCGAAAGTGCTATGTGGGAATCAGATGAGGAGGAAGAAGATGACATGAAAGTTTCAAGATACGTGGATCAAGATTACAAGAGCAAAGAAGACGATTTGCATCACAACAAGGAACATGAAAATAATAGGCTGAATGATTATGACAGTAATGTGGATGAATCTGATGAAGCTTACGATAGATTTGAACACAGAGACACTAAACAAAAGCAGGCTAGAATGAAGAATAGTTACAACTACGATGTTAATTCGGGAAATGCAATGTGGGATTCAGATGATGAGGAAGAGTCGGGGGCATCAAGAACTCAGAGATACGATTACTGGAGTGGTAGTGATGAAGATGACAAATGAAATGAACAGTGGAGTGGATGAATTTATAGAGGAAAACAATGGCTGCAAACTTCATCTTATGTTGTGAGAAAGAGAGGCAAATTTTTGGTAAGTTTTAGCCACCCCATGAAACAGACCATTCAACTGTACCTTAAATATAATTCATTCATATCGATCACATTTGTTTAGCGTTTTTCGGTTTAAACTCTCTGTTTATTGAAAGCTTAGCGACACGGTGCTAGTGCTACTATTTGTAAAATCCTACCTGGAAAAAAAAAAAAAAAAGGCCAAAGACAGAACTGAGAGAGACCAGAAAGGCCATCTAAGATCATAAGAATGAAGCTAGAAGTGGAGAATGGTAAGAATCCAAAATCAAAGAGAGATGACACAAGGACTTGAACTTGAAGGATGAGATTGTTAAAATTCTACATATCCTTCCCTCCTCTTTTACTCTGTTCATCCTCTTGTCATGGTCAGATTATTTGAGGGCTTTGTTTAGTTTCAATAGGGATTTTACATATATAGCCTTTTGGTTTTAAATATGTCCTCTAAATCTATTTGTGTTTTACCATCTTCAACGCTCTTGATACACTAGTTATGAGCCAATCTAAGTCATCATTGATTGAAAGGTTGAACTCGTTCGAATATCTGCTTCATGTGCTGTTGAACTAATTACATATACGAAACTATGAACTAGATCTATATGATCTTAAAATAAAGTTACCTATAATTTCTGTCAAGAAATTTGGAAAAGAACTAGAACTAGGGTTTGCTACACCTTGCCCCTTCCTTTGATGCAACTTTTAGTTAGAATGCAAACTTACCCTTTTGATTTGATATTTTAGTGTATTTCACTTCATCATTTTATAAGATATTGGGTATTGAGATTTAAAGCTTAACATCCAAAAATGGTGATGGCTCCATTAAAATTAATCTCAACAATTCAGAACTCTCCTTGTCAATGCTCACCACCCAACTGGGAAGGTGATGCAGTCAACTCTTCTCCTCCCTACACAATCATTAGATTCTTCCTACAAATTTTGACCCAAATAACTCACAAAAACTATTACATAATCAAGTTTAAAAAAAAAAGTCTTAATAGTGTTTCTTTTATTACAAAAACTAACAAATAAAAAATAACTAACAATACAATGAAAAGTTGAATACAAATTTATCACTAGTTTTATGATTATAGTCAAAATAAATAAATAAATAATTCTAATGTTATATTTGTAACAAACTTTCCATTTTAGTATATATATAAAGGAAAATAGAAAGTGGGGAAGACATGAATTGGGTTTTAAAGTGGGGAGGTTAAATATAGTTTATGAGAACCCAAAAATGGGAGAGGAAGTTGCAAAAGTTAAGAAGAAGAAGAAATTTAATTTAGGTTTAAGAATTAGGCCATTGAAGAATATTTCACAACCATGATTGTTTGATGTTGTTGAAAAGGTTAATGGGATTACTGGTGGGAGATAATAAGCTTTTCATCTTTTTGGGGCAAAGTCAATTATTTATTTATTTATTTATTTTAACAATCCTATTTGTTTACTACTAATTGTTAATTTTTTTTTTATTTTTCGTTTTTTTTTTGGTCTATTTGTTTTCTTGTTTTTTGTTTTTTTTATTGAAAAATAAACCGAAACATGTTTGGTAACAATTTCTTGTTCATCGTTCTCTAATATTTAAAATTTTTAAAATTATATATTCAAAAGTTTTATGTTATATTTATTATGTATTTTATAAATTAAGAATTATAAAATAATATTTTTATTTATGTTTTTGAAAAAACTAGAAATAGGAAAAAAAATGTTGATTTTGTTGTTTTCAAAATTTCTACACAAGTTTAAAAACGTTTCTTAAAAATGAGAAATAATAAACTAAGGGTTCATTTAGTAACATTCTTGTTTCTTACTTTCTGTTTCTTTATTTTTAATAAAAAATAAAATAAAATTCATGACCCCAACATGCATAAATTCAAGTATAATAAAACAATTTTTGTATTTATGTTTTGGAAGAAATTGAAAATAGGAACAAGAAAGAATAAACTTGTGTTTGTTTCCAAATTTTCTATTAGTGAAAAAATGCTTAGATTTCTTAAAAAAAAATTAGAAACGAGAAATGAGAACGTTACCAAACAGACCCTAAAATAATTATCAAACACTTATGTTTCTAAAAAACTGAAGATGAGAGCATTACTAAACCAACCCTTAGTTTTCACATTTTAACAAAAAAAAAAAAAAAAAAATTGAATTTTTGGACTTTAGGCACGGGTAAACGCGAGCAAGCTTTAAATATTAATTTTTCACTTCATTTTATCCAACTAATTGAGTTTCTTTTGTCCCATAGTATCAAATGAGCCAATAGTTATGTAATAAACATATCAATTAGTTAATATCCAAACTAGATAGAAAAGCATCAAGGATTAAAGATTTTTACCGTTTAGTTATCTGAATAGATGTTTAAATGAAAGATATATCCTTTCTCAACAACAACAAAACAAATATTATGAAAAATCCTAATTGTAAATTTTCAATTTTATACTATAAATTTAATTTTGTTAAAAATGGCTATTATGGAAAATCATGTCTATTGAAACTTTAAAGTCAATGGCACATTGTTTCTCACCTACCACCAATGCCATCTGTTTTACAAATTAAATTTCTAATGAATTAGAGCGTTTAGAGTTGGATGATGATGAGAATGTTGAAGAAATTTATTGATTATTGGTTTAAGGAATTGTTGAATCTTGAGGATTTTGACTCTCTTCTATCCATATTATATTATTATTAGTAATGTCTAACCGTATTAATTAATTCAAACCGTTCAAGAAAAGAAAAAAAAATTTAAGTGACAATATATTAAGCATCAAATAATAAGACACGTTTTAATTTMAAATTTTGATATACTTTTTTGACATTGTCACTATCAAAGAGACAATACTCTCTCTCCCTACTAATTAATAATTAAAAGTTTATGAGTTCGAACTCCCACCCCACGTACTAAAAAAAATTAAAAGTTTATTTCAACTATCATTAAAGATAATGTTTCACATTTTTTACTATTTTAAGTGTTTTGAGATTAATTAATCCATCATCTCGTTGAATCATTAATAATAACATAATAATTTATTGCAAAAGAGGCCAACTTCTATAATTTAAGGCCAAAATTAATATTCACTTTTAGCTTCTTCTTTTCATAACTAACATGTAAAGACAGTTAAATAGATTAAGTACCTATTATCCTTATCCCGCTATTGTTGAATAAAAAAAAATTAACTTTTCAAAACTTCTTAAAAATTAAAATTGTTTGATTTCTTTTATTATTAAAAAACGTAATTTTTTAGTTCAACAATGGCAAGATGAAAGATCAAACTATTGACTTTTAAGATTATAATTAGTGTCGTATACACTTGAGCAATCCTCGAAGTTTAAGTGTTTAGAGATCAATTAATTAATTCTCTTATTGAATCATTAACAACAACGTAATAACTAACATGAACTTAGTTCAATAGTAATTGACATCTGTCTATGATCAAGGTCATAAGATCGAATCATCCTCCACCCATTTATTGTACTCAAAAAATAATGTAATGATTTATTACAAAAGAGACCGACTTCGATAATTTAAGGCTAGTTGATAACGATTATATTTTTTCATTTTTACTTGCTTCTTTCCTAACTAATAAAACTATTAATTAGTGCATGGCTCAATACAAAAAAGAAAAAAAAAATAGGCAAATGTAAATCAAACCATTGACTTCTTGAGATGATGGGAAAAAACAAAGTGTTTGGTCAACTATTTTTTATTTTATCTTTTCTCTTTGTTTGTTCTCATGGTACCCTATTTTAGTAGAACAATCGAGCTTATTCTATTCTAAAAAAAATATGAACATATGAATAGTTATATAATAACTTTAAACATACCACTTATCTAAYCATAATTATTAAAAAACAAATCTTTATCCAAACACTCTAAAAAATGTACTACCTCCTCTATATAATATATTTTGAGATTATGCTTCTCCATAATAAAATGTACTACTCCTCTATATAACACATAAGAATTAATTTTTAGTACGTGACAATCGGTCACATAGATATAAAAACTCATTCTATCAATCCCTTAGACAAATGAACCACTAGTACTAACTTTAATCCCTGATATTTCTTTTTTTTTTTTTGGGTAAAATTGGAAGATTCTTTGGTCTTTGGAGAGAGTGGTGGGCAGCATGATTATTGCTTAGAGGAAGAAATGTCCACATGCTTCCCACTTCCCATGTTTCATTCACACCTCACAAGACACAAATTTCACAACTTGTATTCATAAACAATTAGTTGTATGAACAATTCCTTCATCAGGGACAAAGGCGAGCAGTTTTTGACCGGCCAAGAAAGATTTTGGACTCAAAACTCGTCTTCGAGGATTAAAACTGATCAAACCAACCAAAACCAAAACGAACCGAACTAAAACGAAAAAGCATATGCTTTCAGAAGGCCCCAAATTCCACATTAAGAAAAAACAAGAGAGAGACAGAGAGAATTAACCTTTCTTTTCATTGCCGGTGAGAAAAAGAATGGAATGAGTATTACTGTGACAGTGTTTTAAGGATCAATAAACAGAGATGGTGGAAATTACAGTTTTACCTACGCAATACCTATAAGAGAATCTTAGGAAATTTGATTCAACTTTGAAGAAATATGGAGGGTTTTAAGCCTAATAAGCAGCCCAATAGCAATTACAACCAGTTTTTCTCCTCAGCTGCAACAAATATGGAGAAGTCTCTCTCTGCCCTCAGTTTCCATATCAGCCTCAACTTCATTGGACACGATCCTTTAAAATAAGGATATCTTTCTCTACATGTTCAACATATACAAAGCCATTTCTTTCTTGTTCTTTCATAGTTCAGCCACTTTCTCTTCTGCAGTTACCTGGTAACAGGTATTTGTAATTCTCAGCATTGTTCAGTAGGTATGATGGGAGATGAACGGCCGAGTACGACCGAGGGATTGGTCCCATCTTCCCAATTATTTCCCGAAATGTGTACTCTTCGGGAATCATGTCGAATAGGTCTGCCCCTTTGCATATTATATCCTGAATTCTGTCGGGTTCCAAGTAATGAGAGAACCTGACTCTGTCGTAATGGCTGTATGCTTTCATCTTGAATATGAACTCACTGATATGGCGGAAGCAAAAGCTACAATGCCACCCAGAATCCGATAAGACTTCATCCGATTGACGATAATGAGCGTACCGGGTTTTACCATGCTTGTATTGATGGACAGAAGCTCTCCAGCTGTTGTCATCTGCGTAATACTCAAAGGAGTATAGGTAGTTCCTTAGCCGGAGATGGAGTATGGGCGGGGTATCATCGCACCACCTCAAGAGGTTTATCGTGTGGGCACTCGGAATCTCGTCGACATCAGACATGATTAACAAGTCATCATCCTGTATCCCTGCAATCCTAAGAAGCTTATCCAGAGCCAATCTCTGATATGCCTCTTCAACAAAAGGATTCTCTCCTTTCTTAAACCTGCCCCCTACTGTCCCATAAGTCAATCGTGGCTCGACAAAGCTAAACCGTTCCCGGTTGTTTGCAAAAACCAATGGCTTAAGCATAGCTGTGAACGTCGAGTTCGACTCAAGAAGCACAAACTGACTCACATAAGGATACAGTTCATTCCATCTGATGGTCAGGATGTCAACTTCATTACTAAACAGAACGGCATCGAAGACTCGTCTCGGCAATTCGCGCTTTTGCCAACCGTGAAGCTTGCAGAGGGACTCCATAGATACATTTTCATGATAGTAATGAGAGATTTCATGAAATGGCTTCGGAGGAGACTCCCACAAGGGTCTAAGAAAATAAGAGACCTTCTGGCCATGGATATATATGAAAAATATCAACAGTGGAACAGCCACAAAGAGAAAAATCAGTGTCTTCAAATCCCACCCTCGAAGAATACATCGAAATCTAGACAAGCTAAAAGCACCGCGAGGTCCCTGCAACAATCAAAACCAGAGAGATTGAAGAACATATTCAGTGATCAAACGTCATATCGATCAATTAGATTCAGGACAACAATTCATTTCCAGATGCTTGTAAGAGGAAAAATTGACAAGTGGGGACGGCAGGACGTCATAAAAACGAAGAGATTCTTTAACTGAGCTGAAATTAGAACACCTTGAAAAGGAAATTTAGCTATAAATTGAAAAAGGCAGCAAAATCTGATTCAATCCCATATCAATGCACACTTCGAATCAAACCATTGTGTCCATAAACAGAAGGAAAACGAATAATCAATAACTATGTTTACACCATTGCAGATAATTGTACCATTCTCGCCATTAATGGGTATCTCCAAGGAAAAGTTACAACAAAAGGGTTTAGGAAAAGAAAGGACAACAAACAGGATTTTATTACTCAGAAAGTTGAACTAAACGAAACAAGACATGCCGCCCTGGCGCGTAGTTCAAAGAAAAGGACATGAATCCAAGAGAAACGCTCAGAATAGTTAATTTGGGAATTTGAGAATTGAGAAGAAGACAACAGATTCCAAACAGAAAGAAAAGAAACGAGCGAGAGAGAGGATTGAGAGTAACAGACCTGGCCGCAAACGTCTTCACAGATATCAT